TGGAGTGGGAAGATCAAAAGACAACCTGGCAAAATGGCACTACCTAAAAGAATCCCACACCTTGTGTGACTGTGGAGCAGAACAGACAACTCCGCCTCTGAATGCTTGTCCAGTATGCCCTGCTTCATGTACAGAGGAATAATTGTTGGAGGCTACAGACAGTGCCATTGCTGTTGCCTGTTTTTAAATATCAAAAGATATTTAGCTGCCTGCTCTCCTTCTATTTTCATCAGTTTTATACGAATTTATGCAGTGCTTTTGATACAAACTAAATAGCCCCAGAGAGTTATTTTAGCTTTTTGACTAATCAACCCATTTACCAAATGACAGTTGAATTCACCAAATGACATATTGTTTCTTGCATTTTATCAATAGCACAGCAGTGAATTGGCAGCATACAGTAACAATGGTGTTACTGTGACTGGCTCTCCTCCTTGCTAGTGAAAATTCTCATTATTCTGTGGCAATAAGGCAGATCTGTATAAGTATTTGTTGCCTGATTTTATATACCATACATTCCACGCTAGAGTATTTCCATTTGCTTGTCAATAGGTAGGATTTTACTTGGGGTCTTACTGGTTTTGGAGGACAAGTTGCTAGAGTGTAGGTCTGGATGGAACTCTTATGTGAGAACTTTCAAAACCAATCTAGCATATGATCCTCCAAAATGAGAGTGTTGGGTAGGATTCCTTTCCAGGATGGTGTAAAGAGTTCTATTCTTGCTGCATGTATGAAAGTAGTGGGTGCCTCTGCTTTTAAAGTACTTCTTGTTCTCTTTTGTCATATGTGAGCCCACAGTCTTCTCTGTATTCCTGTTTTCCTTTCAATAAATGACAAGAAGAGGTCCTCCTTTCTAATCTAGAGAGCCGATGGCAGTTACAACATGTTCAAAGGGACCAGTGCTCTTCAAGAACCTTGTCCTCCTCCAGATTGAGGTGGAAGCTTTCTGTCGATATTCCTTACTGTATTGCTATGAGGAGAGCAGGGGGTGGAAAAGTGAAGGCTATGAAAATCAGCCCTGTGTGAGATTTATGCATGGTTTTTGTGTTGATCTTTCTCTCTGGTATGTGAAGCAGCCAGGGTGAATCATGCTTCTGACGTGAGCATTATTGCTGGGGCAGATGGCGATTCTCCTGTACCCTTGCAAAATTGGTGGGATGTACATATGATTAACAATACGTAGACATGTTGTAGGCTGTCAGTATGAGAGTCTTCAGCAAGACAGAAATTATTTTCATGGTTAGAGCCAAGAGATGGAATTTTTCCCCTCCTTATGGCTTGGTAACATTGTGCTTGTCGATCTGTGTCTAAAAGCCAAGGGATCTGTAACATAAAGGAGGCTTGTGAAATGTTATTCCTTGCCCTTCTGGGGAACCAACGAGAATGTTTGTACTGTATTCTGTAGATATTGGAAGACTGTTCTTATGTTCTGTGATTGCTGTCACTGCTATAATACTTACTATCCTGTGTGTACCTTCAAAATACCTATTGACTTATGGTGATCCCATGAATTTCAAAGGGCTTTCTCAGACAAGGAGTATTTGGGCATGTTTTGCTTCTAATCTTTTTGACTTCTACTTTGGAACAAATGTAGAGTATAAATCAAGTGTAGATTAATAAGATATATTGCTTTCTCTTGAGATATATCCTACTGTACCTGTTGGTCTCCCTTCCAAGTACTATCCATGCCTTTCCCCACTTTGCTTCCAAAACCAAAAAGAATCGGTGTATGTATGTGCCTTTATGTCACCTATAAATTTATGCTAATCGCGTTGATTTCATAGGGTTTTCTTAGGCAGAGAATGTGAGAGCCATGATGGTGTAGTGGTTTGACTTTTAGACTAGAACATTGGGAGACCAGAGTTCAGATTTCTGCTCAGTGATGGAAGCTCACTAGGTGACATTTGGCATGTCCCATTTGCTTAGTCTCAGATGAAGACAAGAACAAATTCTGCCAAATAAACCCTGTGATAGGTTTGCCATAGGTCGGAAATGACTCAAGGCCACACAATAGCAACAATAAGGAATACTCACTGGTGGTTTTGCCTGTTTCCCCGCTAAAATATAGCCTTATGGTCAAAAAATGAGCCTTGCTTTAGTGCAGAGATAGGAAACTACCAGATACTGATGAATTGTTATTCCCACCATCTCTCGCCATTATTCAGACTGGCAGCTGCTGATAGAAATTGGAGTGCAACAGTATCTGAAATTTGCGTGTTCTCTAGTTATTAAATTTCTCCTCCCCCCTCAACTTCTTTTTATATTGGATTTTTTTTATTGTGGAATAATCATTTTTTTGAAATGCAACTTTTTGTGTAAATAATACAAAGAAGTATTTCATCTATGAAAGTTGCTTCCTTTGCCTTCTGAATTCCATTGCCCCAGTAAAAGGCTTTCTGTGTCTGTATTATGTCATTTTATTATTGTTGCCAAGTGAATTGGGGATTCCAGAAGGAATTTATTTGTTGCTTTTACATCTCCCAGGTGGAGGCACCCAGAATGGTTTATATACCAAAATGATAAAAACAGCCAGTAATACAAGAACAAATAATATCAATGAAAACATCCCAGACCAATAAAATACAAAATATAGCAGTAAAACTTAACACGAAACAGGAGGCAGGACGAGTCAAGGAAAACTATGTGTTGAATATATGTAGAAATATCCTAGAAATAGGATGGGAGTAATAGTGAAGCAGGAAGACAGTTGAATTTCTAGGTATGGAGCACAATACATATTATATGCCACATACACATCCCCATGAGTTGGACCTCAGAAGGTAAAGGGACCTTGCTGGATAGCCCAATAGAGTAGACACATTTATGAGGGTGGCGATAATCCTTTGGGTATTGCAATCCTAAACTGTTTTAGGCTTTGCAGGTAATGTTTCAGGTAATGACCAGCACTTCAAATTCCGTCTGAAAATGGATGAATGGTCAGTGCAACTGCTCAACAAGGGGGTAGTATACAAAGATCTGGCAGTGATTAAATGGCTTGCCTCATTATTCTATGGTCTTAGAGGGCATGTTAAGTGCATTCAAGCTTTCCAATCTAAATATAACTAATGGTTGTTTGACTGTGGGTGTATCCGACCTTTCCAGGAACAGACATAGCTGGTAACCCAGCCCAGGAAACGTGCTCCTGGGCATCACTGTCACCTGAAGATCCAGGAGATAAGCTGCATCCAGAATCATTTCTAATTGCATGCCTGATATTTCAATGAAAGCTTATTCCTGTCTGGGGCAGGCTTATATCCTTTTCCTAGACCACTAGGTATCTTCACAAAGAAATAGAATTTGTGCATTTGGAATGTCTATGCTCAAATCTGGATTTTCATTGCTATGATGTCTTCTCGGCCGGAGATTTCTTGCATCTAGCTGATACACATATTAGTAGTGATATGTAAACAGATTTCTCTCTTGGAGTACCCTTTCTCAGAAGAGACTTGGAAACACTTTGAAAGTCAATGGAAAATGCAACATTAGTGCCCAAGACACAAAAATACTGGAGCAGGTTTGAAATGCTGTGCTTTCCATTGCCAAGGGCAGGATCCTGTGGGAAAGCATTACAGCTCTGTTAATTCCAGAGCTGTATTATGAAGTCATATGCGTGCAGGAGTATTGCAGGCAGGGAAGGAGTCATCCGCTTGCTCTGTTTGGGTCATTTGCCAGCTGTGTGCTTAACAGAACGTGCATTGCTTCCACTAATGGTGATGAAATTGATGCCATTGATGAGATGGGGCAAGAAAGTACAGTACAAGATTTGCACTAAAGAATAGATCTTGGGAAGATAATGTTTTAATTTTTACGTAGTTGACTGAACATGCATCACTGTTTGTCAGTATCCTTCTGAACTCTGTCTTATCTTTCATCCTCCTACCTATGGTAATTAATTAGTTATGATGGAGGAGGGTGTTTGAAAGCACTTCCAGGCATTAAATAGGTGTGCAAATTGAAACTTGCAACAGGAGATAATACTCATTTAAAACAAAACAAAACAAAACAAACAAACATACATACATACATACATACATACATACATACATACATATTTATCTGCCAATTTAGTTGCCATACACTTACATGTCTGTTTATCAGAAAGTGAATTGCAAATTCCTTTGGAATGAGAACTTCCATGGGAACTTACTTTCTATGGGAAGGGATCTCATAGGACAACCAGCGTGTTGCAGTGGTTAGAACTTTGGAGTTCAGCTGGGAGCCCCAGATTCAAATTTTACGCCAGAGACAAAGTTGTCACTTATCATCATCATGAGTGATCAGTCGTGGCTGAGCATGATTGTCTTCCAGAGGTAGAGTCTTAGCTGTGAGTCTCTTAAGTGACTGTGGAGACCTATTCCGGCTCCACATGGTCTTTTACAATGAGGGCATAAATTTCCAGATGAAAGATGGTCACAACAGGAGCATAAATTAGCTGCAGGATTTTTCAGAGGCAACACTGATGAATTCTTTCCAGAAGTTAAGAGTGACATTTGTAGATGGTCACAGGTGTACAATAGAGTTGGAAGGACAATAGATTTATAAACAAGCATCTTGGTATCCCTACAATCTTTGTATCCCTGCTTCTGAGCTCATCTGTGTCACATGGTGGTTGTTGGTGATTAATGGGGTGCATAGAAAATATGTTTGTGCTTCTTAGAGGAAAAACAGGATAAAATTTGACAGGCAGCCAGAAAAATTGTGGAATGCCAAATAAAGAGCAGAGAAAGGAGAGGGATAAAAAAGGAGGTGGTGGCAGAACTGTTAGGCATACACGTGCATTTAACACACACAATGAGAGGTGATAGAATATTGTGAGATACTTGATCCGTCGCTGAGTCTATGAAGCCTTTTTTCAACCATTTGCTTCTGTGCTGTGCCTACCAATGCTTCAAGCCCTGTTGGTACCTATATGTACAACTGTCAGACTGAAAGAGCCACATTATTTTTTTGTCTTGCCTTAAAACTCTGGTTCAGTTCCTGTATGTGCTCACTTCCTGCAGATTCCAAAGAAGTGGTGTGTTATTGAGGTCCAGCATCACCTTTTGCCTTGTCACCATCCCCAATGCGACCATGGGAACTGGCAGTGAATAGGTGGCCTCCTTTTGTCTCTTTGGAGCAGCGACGATTCCCAGGGGGAAGCTGTGGCAGTCCAGCACATCTCAGGAGAAGGTACCACCCCATCCTTCCTTAATTCTGTCAATCATTTGCACCAGAGAGTTTCAGGGCAGGCATTAAAAAATCCAAGGGCTCTATGTGCCTTTTTATCATAAATGTTACATATATTGTTTCTTCCCATTCTGGGTGCAACTGCATGATAGCCAATGCATGATGTTTTTAATGTAATTGTACTATATAATTTAATATTAAAATGAACCACCAGATTCTGGACACTTTGTGCACCAACTCTCACCTTTTCCCCCCTCTATAAATGCTCATGGGAAGCCCTCTGAACTATTCACAAATTGCTACTCGCAGTTTCCAGGTCTACTAACTCAGTAGACCTGGAATAGATGAGAATACACATACAAACCTTTAACTGTATGCATTCATAGAAATACTTGAACAAAGTTGATTAATTAGTTGCTTAAGGTGTCTTAGAGATCTTGCCTTGATCTAAAATGTGGGTGGTCTAATTTGTGTATTTCCTTGATAATCATGCAGATTTTTGTACCTTCCAGAAGTACAAACTGAAAGGTGCAGAAATCAGCATGATTACCAGATTGTAAAGTTCTGACTCAAGCACTGGAGTAATCTCTCGAGGAGCATCTATGACAAGCCTTTGTTTCATAATCATAGTATTTCTTCTTCCTTGCCCTGTAGTCTAATTCCCCGGCAGGCCTGCAGGGGCCTCTAGCAAGCTTTTCTTCCAAGCCCTTCACCTGGAAGTTTTCATGAAGAGGAAAATTGAGGTTCCATTTATGGTTGCTCTGCCCCCCATCATATGGGAAAATCAGAAGACAAGTAAAGTTGGTTGGGGTCACAACTGCATTTACATAGACTGGCAGAGAGTGGTTTGCTTCTCTCCTCACCCCCAGAGGCAAAAGCTTATGTGTGAACTAGCACTCATAGGCACTACCAGTCAGTGCTGCCCCCATCCATTGCTATATTTTCATACTGCTTCACTTCAAAATGCAAATCAATACCAGGAAGATCAGATGAATCAAAATTTTCTCTTTCCTCCTCCACAATGGAGGGCACACTATATAAGAGGCACGATTAACTCCAGAAGACCTTGAATAACTACTAATGCTGCAATTAAATGCACTTTTGTTTATGAGCAAATCTTGCTGAATGCAGCAAGACTGTTTTCTAAACAAACAGGGGTGTGTTCTAAACACGGCATTTATCCAATGAAGGTATCTTCAAAATTTATTGGGGGAAATGGCCACTCTCACTCCTCTAATGGAGGGTAAATTCCCCCCTCCCCCCATCTTCACGCACACTTCTGCCTCAGAAATTAATAAGCAAGTTTGGCTTGGAATCTACCATCTCTGGGAGGATGTTGGGGGCATGGCTTCTTAGTAGTGGGATGAGGTTGATAGTGCACATTGTCCTACCACCTCAAGGAATAGAGCAGAACAGTTTTACTTGGCTTGTTGAAAAGGACTGATCAAAAACCAAACCATGGCAGTATTGCTGCATAGCCTCCATGTTCAATGTTGTGACTGAATTTTTGCTGTGATTTTGCTGCCTCAGTAGCTGGTTTCTCTATATCTGTCCCTTGCCCACCTGCTCGCTTGGGCTCCCTCCATATTGCTGGCCCAGCCCTGTTGTCAACATGGGTGTATTTTTAGCTGTGAGTTCAGCATAGATAAGTGGCTGGCCCCTAGGGTCACCCCTCTATATTTCTCTCCCCCCAACTGGCTCCACAGCCCTCCTTTCCGGCACCACTGGGGCCGACGCGAGCGACCTCTGCAAACTCTCCTAGCCCAGGATGAGAACTACTTGCACCCGGCTTTTTTCCAGCAGCAACAGCCACAGCCACAAGTCCCTGTAGATGAGCACCCGGCGTACGTTCTGGCCAATACGCCACCACGAATGCTTCACCCGGCTGCACACCCACCCCACCAGCATCCATTCATGGTGGATCTCCATGAGCAGGTAGGGACATTCTGCATGTGTTTCGGGGGTGATGTGGTAGATATGTTCTCGGTGTAATGAACAGAGGTTGGAAACTTGTTTCAGTCAATACAGTGGGGGTTACCTGTGGCCCTCTAGATATTCTTGGATTATAAGCACCAGCATTCCTCAGCATTAGCTATGCTGACTAGGGCTGATAGGACTTGCAATCCAGCAATAGTTGGAAGCTTCATGATCCTCACTGATGCAGTAGAGAAATTGTGATATAGCTTTGCCTAGGTCCTGGGTTTATCAAGGACATTCAAGTAAGACAAATTGCCTTTTTAAAGCATTCTTCCATAGGAGAGATAGAAGAGTGTTAATATTGAGTCTAAAAGGTTTGAAATCTAAGCAGAGTTTATCCTAATCCGTATTGGAATGGGAATATGGAGATCTCTGCATAGGACTGGGAAAGAACTGAGAGGTATTGGGAGTCAGCATTGCAAAGAACTAGAGACCAATGTCATAACTCAATTAAGAAAAATATTTATATTCCTGTGAGATACTAATGATTGAACCCAGGACCTTTCACATGTGAAAATGAGCTCTGAGTCTGAGTTTTAGTGCCTTTTAATATACAAGTACCATTCCTAGCAAATGACTATATGTCAAGTAACAGGCTTTGAATGGGATATTGCTTTCCCAGGCCATTAAAGTGGGAAGAGCAAAGAATAGAATTGTCTAAGATCATTGCATTCTTTGAATTTTTTTGCTTACAGAGGTTTGTACAACAATAAACGGAACTCTTCTTGAAGCCTTCGTCTCTATGATCCAGCCAGCATGCAGTTCTGTATGTTGACTTGAAAGAATGGGCATTCAACAGACAGAACTTGCTTGCTGGCTGTATCAGAGTGAGGAAACGCAAAAGAGGCTTGTAAGTGCAAATATGTCCTAAAGTAGGCGGTGTTCTTCTAACATTGACTTAAATTAAATGGTTACTGTGTATTTTAATCAATTACATAATTAATTTTACATTTATATTTACAATATTTCTCTCAGTATGAGGACTCATGGCAGTCCCACAACACGAATAAAAATATATACATCTAAAAGCAGTAATGATGCCTGACATTAAAACATAATGAAACAGTTAATACTAAAACAACAACTGAATTAAAATTGTTTAAGAGTGCATAAATAACTCCATCCCATTAGAACTCTGTTTCTCACTAAATCATTAGATGGTTGTGCTGCTTATGGCTCTGTTATGTATGTCATAACAGAGCCATAAGCAAGGCTCTGGGTTCATTGGTATCTCATGGAATCACAGGATCTTTCTTTTGGTGAGTCAAGCCATTGGTCCTTCTGGTCTGACATTTTCCCTGGCAGTCCCCCATTCAAATACTGATTAGGCCCATCCCTTAGCTTCCAGAATCACTAGAGATTCAGTGTAGTATTTTTGTTGTCTCCAGTTAAAATATTGAGATATTCAACTAACATGGAGGGGAATGACCTTTGTCTGATATCCTGGAGGGCACTGGCTTAGACATAGAGCAATAATTTAAACAAGCATGTGTTCTTGCCGGTTAGGATCAGACTGAGACCTTTAGATCTGGGTTCAGTAGTTTTTTGGGTTTTTTTTTTTACTGCTTTCAACCTACTGCACTTAGGCCTTCTTTCTTCATATATAATCCCATCATTCTGAGAAGATGTTAGGTTGTTTCATTTTCCAATTATTATGATTTCTACAATTCACATATATTTGTTTAGGTTGTAGTAATGTACTTAGTTTAGTGCCAGATTAAAATCTTTTTCTACAACATTTGGGATTGTCAGTCATATTGAGAGGCTAGGTGGAATCTAAAGATTTACATGTCTACCATCTAGAACCCCTAGTGCAAACCAAGGAAGAATGTCGTTTCTGTCTCCTACATCTCTTGCCCTGCACTTTTGATTTCCGTTTCTGAGTTTCCTTGCATTGGTTGCATTCAGAAGGGTATTCTGTACAACCAGTTCCAGGTTTGATGTACTTCCCCAGTTTTCAGGGATGTCTTTAGGACATGTGAAGAACATCCCCTTTTGCTTTATCCAACATTAGAACATCTAAGACCATAGGTCTTTCTGTAGTAAGTGGGATGGGATTTGTGATGTCACATCTTCCCTTCCAATGTAGTATCAACAACCCTCTAACTTTAAATCAAAAACATACTATATAACTTTGAGCACCTTCCCATGGATCATAAGGTTACAGCTTAAGCCACTGCAGTCTCATCTAGTTAATAGTTTTATCCTTTTCAGTTTTACTGTGCATTTATATTGTGTTAATAATAAATTGAATATTAATTCAGTATTCAGGTTCAATAATTCATACTGCTCTGAAATCCATGTTTGGATGAAGTAATGTGTAATAAATTCTTAAAATAAATAAATCAATATATATATATTGGAAAGCCTTTCTATACTCCAGCATGTTTTATTTGGGAAGGGCAGAGGAAATTAATTAAAAAGACATGACTGGAATGGGGACTAGGAAATAGGGCATTCTGCAGAAAACCTGCCCATACTGCTATAATCCCTAGAAACTGAACATTTGAACACATAGTTTGAACATGTCAAGGAAAGGCCAGCTTTTAGTCTTCCAAAATTTGGGCTTAATTTTTGGAGTACGAGGAGGCAGCAGTCACTGAAAATGAATGCTGGGAGTTGCTGTCCAACATCCTAAGGGGGGGGGGGGTCTACAAGCCGGCAGACTCTGGTGCAGAGGGAGGAGTGGGGTTGTGCCATCTGGTCCTTCACCTGCATGAGTAACACATTCAAAATCTATATGTATATGAGGTATATGCTAAGTGCATCTAGGACAATAGTTCCTAAACTTTGGTCCTCCAGTTATTTTGGACTTCAACTCCCAGAAATCCCAGCCAACTTATCAGCTGTTAGGAATTGTGGGGTCTGAAGTCCAAAATACCTGGAGGATCAAAGGTTGGGAACTACTGATTTAGGAAGTATAGCAAAAACCAGCTGATTACATCAAGGTCATTTTAATCTGTAGTCTGTTCTTTTGGTCTAAGACAGATGGAAAAATCTGCCCATATGTTTGAAATTGTTTATTCTTGAGCATTAGTTCAAAGTGAAAGGCATGGGTCCCCAGGAAATAGAACCTTTGCCATAACCTTTCTGATTTATTTGTACTCTTAATTTGGCCCCCTAGTGGGAGGGGGGCTGTTTCCATGGCAACACCTACACAGATGCTGCTGAAATTCTGAAGGACGGCTGTCTCCAGGTCTGATGAGTCTGGGGTTTGGCTCCCCAGAGGTTGAGTCAGCGCCCTGTCTGTCCTTTCTTGTCCTTCAGTGACAGGTGGAAACCTGCCTTGTGTTCCTCAGAGTCATGCCATCCCCTCATACAGCTTTAGAAACAGCTTCTAGCTACAAGGTGAGGGAGCCTAAGGACCCGTGAAGGTGGTTGGACCCCTATCAGCCCAAGATAGTATGGTCATGGGGCCCTGAGATCATCTGGAGGGAGAAGACCTTCTATCATTCCCACCTCCTCCACAGCACTTGGTCAAAAGAAGGACTTCTTGGTGGCTGTTCCTGGTCTCTGGCACTCCATAATATTTCCTTCCTACCATCCTTCTGTCAGCAAGATAAACCTTTCAGCTTCCACAACAGAAAGCTTTTAAAGACTAGGCTAAGTGGTGCTGTATTGGTTTAAACTGAACTGTTTTTAATTGTTTAATCTTTTTAATTGCACTTTATTATTTTAAGTAGAATTTTGAAATGCTTAAATAGTGACTTCAGTCACTGTTTCACATTCACTGAGGTTAGGGGGCACAAGTCCCCCATGAAAGTGAAAACGAAATTGCAAATAAACTAATGACTTTTTTTTTTAACGTGAAAGAATATCTCTCTACGAATGCCTTCCAACACAACTATATATTCAGCTTTTGCTGGAAGCTGACCTTGGAATCGCATTGGAGGACCTAGAGATTCCTTGAGATATATTCTTTCTAGAGATCTCTAGGTCCTCCAGCATAAAGAGAGGAAGTTGACCATAGAGTCAAACTGGAAAACCTAGAGATTCCTAGAGAATAAAATTTTTAATCAAATCCATAAATAATCAAATCCACAACAGTCAAAACTGCAAATGTGGTTTTAATTCTGTAGTTTTAATTCTGCTTTTAGTTCACTCTGTGTTTGTTTTTAACCACGTTTCTCTTTAAAATTGTAAGTTGCCTTGGATCCAGATTTTGTGAAGAAAGCAAGATACAAATAAACATGTCACTCCTTTCCACCTGCTACTAAGGAGGCTGTCGAGGTCCTGAACCGGTGCCTGGCCGCTGTAATGGTCTGGATGAGGGCGAACAAACTGAAATTAAATCCAGACAAGACAGAGGTACTCCTGGTCAGTCGCAAGGCCGAACAGGGTATAGGGTTACAGCCTGTGCTGGACGGGGTCGCACCCCCCTTGAAGGCGCAGGTTCGCAGCTTGGGTGTGACCCTGGATTCATCGTTGAGCCTGGATCCCCAGGTTTCAGGGGTGACCAGGGGAGCATTTGCACAGCTTAGGCTCGTGCGCCAGCTGCGCCCGTATCTTGGGAAGTCTGACTTGGCCACGGTGGTACACGCTCTGGTCACATCCCGCCTTGACTACTGCAACGCTCTCTACGTGGGGCTGCCCTTGAAGACGGCCCGGAAGCTTCAGCTAGTCCAGCGCGCGGCAGCCATGTTACTAACGGGAGCGGGATGCAGGGAGCATACAACGCCCTTGCTGTCCCAGCTCCACTGGCTGCCGATCTGCTACCGGGCCCAATTTAAGGTGCTGGTGTTATCCTACAAAGCCCTAAACGGTTCCGGCCCAAAATACCTTTCGGACCGCATCTCGGCCTATGAGCCCACGAGGGCCTTGAGATCGTCTGGGGAGGCCCTTCTCTCGATCCCACCTGCCTCACAGGCACGTCTGGCGGGGACGAGAGAAAGGGCCTTCTCGGTGGTGGCCCCCCGGCTGTGGAACACCCTCCCTGTTGACATCAGACAGGCGCCTTCCCTTATGGCCTTCCGTAAGAGCCTAAAGACCTGGCTTTTTGAGAAGGCATTTAATTGAGTGCTATATTAGCTGGTAATGACAATTGGAACGGATATGGACTATGAGATTGGTTACGATTCTATGTTGTGACGATGCGGATTAGTTAGTGTAATTTAGATTAGTGTGTAATTTGATATGTTGATTTTTTGTTGTACTTTTGTAAACTGTTTTTATATGTTGTAACCGCCGCGAGTCGCCCTAGGGCTGAGAGCGGCGGTCAACAAATGAATCAAATAAATAAATAAATAAATTTTTTTTACATGTCAGGAGCAGCTTGAGAAACTGCCAGTCGCTTCTGGTGTGAGAGAATTGGCTGTCTGCAAGGACGTTGCCCAGGGGATGCCCAAATGTTTGATGTTTTACTATCCTTGTGGGACGCTTCTCTCATGTCCCCACATGGGGAGCTGGAGCTGACAGAGGGAGCTCAGCCCGCTCTCTCTGGATTTAAATCTGCTTGCACAAGGGTTTAACCCATTGTGCCACCAGGGGCTCCTGTGATTATGGTGATGATCAGAGATTTGACCAACAACATGTCAAGGGTCTCAACTTTTCTTTTGTTCTGATGCTTTGGGGGGGGGGAGGCAACATACAATTCCATACATTTTATAATGCTTAGGGCCTCCTTACCAGTCCTGTTTTGTCTCCCTGTTTTTGTGCATCATTCCCTGCATAGCTGGCTCCTGTGCTGAGATTATGACCTGCATAGTTTTTAGTTTGGCCATGTTCCAAGCTGCCTTGAGCCAAAAGTTAAAGCTAGCCAAAGACTGTGTGTTCCTGAAGCTGACCTGCTTTCAGGCTGGTAGAGGGACTGATGGAGACGCCCACTCCAGAGGTGCACAGCACAAGGTTGGGAGCATTTTACACTTTAACTAGGAAGGGTCTCAAGCCAATGAATCATCTCCGTCTGGAAATTGTGTTTTTTGAACCCAGTGGCAACAAACAGAAATACCTGTTCAGGGGTACTGTGCAATATAGAATTATGTTATAAACTATACATATGATATAGAGTGAAAATATGACTCTGGAATATCCCTATTACAAACCAAGCTATGAACTTGTTTTCCAGTGGCAGAGACATACTTTCATTTCTAGTTCATGGGGCAGTAGTTGGAGATGCCACAGCTACAAGAGAAGAACCTACAAGCAGTAGAAATATGCTACTTACAGGATAACGAAAAGACCCAATTTCAAAGCATAAAATAATAACTAACGAAATACAATGTAACATTAGTAGGTGAGAACTTATGGTGAAATGTCCTAGAAGTTCTAATTGCTTGAGGAGTAATTGGTCCTTCTCTGCAGAACAACAGCAAGTCATGCACTGTATAAAGTTCTGCTTTTAATTTAGGATGTGTGGTCTGAACTATAGTCAGTCCTTGACATTTGTGGTTTTAATTTTTGCTGATGTGATTATTTCTGGATTTGATTTGTATGTTCTCTCTAGGAAACTCAATCAGTAGTTGATCATAGAGTTACTCTAAGGGACCTAAAATTTCCTAGACAGGTGTTGTCTCATGTTTAACAAAACTAATATTCTTTCTTCTTAGCAGTTTTTCCACTTTTGTGAGTGTCTTGCACCCCTAACACTAGTAAAAGTGGAAGGCCTGCTGTAGTCTCAAGATTCAATTATTCATTCAGGGATTTTACAAGGTTTTTATACCTTTTGGAGCTTCAACATCACAACTTTTTGAAAGCACACTAATAAAAAATGTAGCCCTGGTCTGATGTCCTTTCTCAACATGGCTCCAGTTGCCTGGGGGAGGAAGAGGGGCAGTGCCGGGCATGTTTCCTAACCCTGCCATGTCACCAGCTTTGTAGATATTTGGGGGCTGGACTTCTGCTGTGAGGGGCCTTCTGAAATGTGTGATCTTTGTCTTTGCTCTCCCCCTCATCCTGTAGAAGACTATAGGATCAGTCAAAAGGAGTCTTAGTTCTTTGAGCAGGGATAATCAGAGTGAAGCTTTCCAAACGCTGCTGAATGGTGGTGCCAACCATTCTTCACTGTTGAAAGTGCTTGCTAGAGATAATGGGATTTGCAGTCAGACAACATTTACAGACCCAGCAGTGGAGGAAGCCAAGCACCTTAGTTCATTCGAAATATACAAAACCTGATATTTGAACCCCAACTCCTAGACTCCTCCAGTCTACAACATTTAATCAGACATTACTTTATGACTGTCTGATGGTTATATTTTATACATAATTTTAAAGAGCGGCACCTGTTCGTTATGTTTTTCATTACTTCTAGAGTGTCCACATCTGCATTTTTTGTTTGTCTTTTTGATGATTTGTGATAATCTCTTTCATTTTTGCATGCCAGAATGAAATCTGGCAGCCTTGCTAGTTGGACACCAATATACAATGGTTGACAGAACTCTCTTTGGACCAGTGACCAGTACTTTCATTTCTTTTGTTTCTTAGCTTGAATTCTGTTCTGCTGTACTCTGCTGAGGGCTAAGCTGGAGACAGGGAAAGAAGGCAGTAAAATTGGGGGAAACTGATGCAAGGAGATGTGACTTGATTCTCTTCCTTCCTTCCTTCTAGGTGCATCAGGGAGCTGTCCCTCTCTCCTACACGGTGACCACTGTAACAACACAAGGCTTCCCCATTCACACAGGCCAGCACATTCCTGGTTGCAGTGCACAGCAGCTCCCAGCATGCTCAGTGATGTTCAGCGGACAGCATTACCCTCTCTGCTGCCTCCCACCCCCCGTGAGTCCAGGGCACGGACAGTGGTTGGCAAAGTGTCACTACTCTGTATTCTTTTAACTTGTGACAAGTTTTGGCTGGGTCTGTTTTGCTGCTAATCAGATTCTGCCTTTTTCATCTTCTGCCTTTCAGACCCTGGTCCTAAAGATGTGGCTTATGGTCCTTTCTCATGGGACTCTCTTGTTCTCTTTCCTCTTACAGCTGATCCAGGCCTGTGCCATGCAGCAGCTCCCTGTCTCCTACCAAACATTCCCACCACTCATTTCCAGCGACCATTACATCCTGCACCCTCCGCCGCCTGTGCCACCACATCAGCCTCCACATATGGCTCCTCTCAGCCAGTTTGTCCCACTCCAGCCCCAGCATCCTCGCATGGTAAGTTTCTTTGGATAAACTAAGAGGAAATTAGCAGGAAAAAACTTGTTTCCTGACATTCACAGGTCTATGGTGCAGGTTATCACCTACAAAGCCCTAAATGGTTTGTGACCCGCCTACCTTCGAGACCGGGTCTTTCTCCATGGACCAGCCTGAGCTCTTAGATCCTTGGGGGAGGCTCTCCTTTCGCCCTTGCTATTATCACAGGCTTGTCTTGTAAGCACAAGGGAGAAAACCTTCTCCTCTGTGGCCCTCCGACTCTGGAACTCATTGCCCGGTGAGATTAGAAACTTTAAAGAGGGATCTCAAAACCTGGCTTTTCCAATGTGCTTTTGGAGAGTAGTCATACTATCATACACAGTTGCTTCCCCTCAATGGTTTTTTGTCCCCAGAGTATATTTCCCCACCTGTATGAAGGTCTATTTTTATGACCCCATTCCTTTATGAGTTTCTCCCTCACAAACAATCTGCTCTATCCCTGTCCCATCCTGATTTTAGTATTTTTAGTATTTTAGTTTTTCTTTTGCACATGTGGCCTGTTCATTGTTATTTTATTTTATTGTGTATGATTTTGCTTTATTGTAGTTTTTTTGTACTCATATGTTGTATGTATTTTACTGTGTTGTTATTGTGTTTTGGTTTTATTTTATTGTAATATGCTGTTGGGCTTGGCCTCATGTAAGCCACCCCGAGTCCCCATTGGGGAGATGGTGGTGGGGTATTAAATAAAGTTTATTATTATGGTTATAAAAGATTTTTGAAGATGTCATTGCCATTACCATGAAGCATAGCATGCAGGCTAGTAGCTCTTTAAAGTTGTGGTTGTCAATGCACCTGCCCTAGTAATATCAACTCAGACTGACAGCGATTTCCCAGAGTTCCAGAAAGCCACCTTTACACACATAATAGTGTATAGATAAGGAGCTGTTATTGAGAAGAGAGAGGAATACTTAAGTGAATGCTGTTTGGTGAAATGTTTGAGGAGAAGTTGCAATGAAGAATGTGACAGGGGTCCTGATTCTGATTGTCACAGCCTCACTTGGGACACAAGGATGAACATCATCCTTCTTGTATCTCAGTCATCAACTGCACTGACATCCTCCCTTGTTCAGTGTGGCTACTGCCTATTAAGATAAGCTTGAAGGGGTATTTATCATCATGGTAATAGTGCCACAATTGTGGCTGCATAGTCTTCATACAGAGCAGTTACTGATCTGTAATGGTGCCCCCAGTGGTGCAATGGGTTAAACCTTTGTGCAGGCAGGATTGAAAACCAACAGGTCGGAGGGTCGAATCCGGGGAGAGTGCAGATGAGCCTCCCTCTGTCAGCTCCAGCTCTCCATGCGGGGACATGGGAGAAGCCTCCCACAAGGATGGTAAAACATTAAAAAAAAAACCATCCAGGCATCCCCTGGACAACGTCCTTGCAGACAGCCAATTCTCTCACACCAGAAGCAACCTGCAGTTCCTCAAGTCGCTTCTGACATGAAAAAAACCCCTTGATCTGTAATTAAGTTATGAACTCATAACTGCAGTACTGAATGCCAACCATTATTTGTACAGTATAAGCAGGTACAGGTTCTAGCGCTTATTCCAATATTTTTAATAAGGCATATCCATTTCCCTTGATCTCTTATATGGTGTTTCCTGTTGTCCAGAACCTGCAGTCAATCAGGTTAGCAACTAAACCCAAGTAGGTCTAATGTGATCTTATCTACCAAATGCAATATATCTGTTGGATGGTTTGAACTAAAAATTAATATTTCCACTGTGGCAATATTATGCCTCTGTGGTATCTGTCCCATTTCTGCACTATGTCTGGGGAGACGGTTTATTTATTTAAAGCATTTTTGTCCTGCTCGTCAGCTGAAAAGGCTTCTAGAGCAGCCAATAAAAACAAGACCATCCCAGCTTGCACTCTAAATGACATAGCACTGAAAGAGAAAAGAATGAGGAAGGGCTAGATAGGCCATAGAGAGTTTCTACTCAAAGACATGAGACAAGAACTGGGCAGCCAGAAGTTCCTTGCTGACATTGATCACTAGGTTGACCCTTGACTGTACGTCCCTCTCAGTGCACATATTATAATTCTAATTTGTCTTTTTTACTTTTGGAAGAAGCATTCAAAGTGATATATAGTTAAGATAATACATTTCGATAGGCTATGTCATAACTAGAATACCAACATCATCATTCTCTCCTCAAAATGCACATACAATAACACTCATGTAGGAAAAATTGAAAAATGTTATGTTCCTGGTTTGAAAGTGTTATTTCTTGTTTAACTGGGTGGTACTTAGTTATTATATTCCAGAAATTTAATTTTGTGGCTCCCACAAACTAATATTGAATTGGCCGAGACTCAGTGAGATATTCATTGAAAAACAATAGCAAAATGTGCTGCAGGATGTTCCGTAAAAACATTTTTGCAGTTTAATAAACTTTTTCCATGTTTTTATGATACAGCCAATTAGGAAATCACATGAATGACCCAGTAACAAAAATTGAGTTCCATAGTGTAATCATTTGAGGTTGGTCCACTATTGTCTTCATTGTGTGTAGGTGGGTAACTGAAGTTGAGGCAAGTAAAACCTATTTGAGTAAAGTAAAACCTAAGGAGGCTAAATAGTTTTTCCTATGGCTAATCTGGGATAGGCAGAATTATCTTGGGCTGCAGGGGTGGGGGACTGGGGTCTTATTTTATAAGTTTGAATCTGGTCTGTGGTAAAATGCCAGTTTGTACAGGCTTATGGGACTGCAATGTGTTAGGATTTTTTTTAAAGGGGTGGAACAGTTGTTGGCGCCAATGCCTTCTTTTCTCTTTCTGTATAATTTGGATTCTTCATCGTGGTCTCTGTGGAAATATGCACCTGTGATAGTTTCTGATACGCAACTGAGGCGGATTCTTCTGGAAAGCTCCTGAAGGTAGAAGGCTACAGCCCCGGCCTCATCCCCCAGAGCATATAGCCACAGGGAGGGGGCTGTAGCCTCAGTTCCTTCTGTCTGCAAAAGCAGCAAGAAGTTGGAAACTATAGCTCCTTCCTCCTTACAACCTCACCCTTCCGCATTATTAGAACAACTATTCTCAGGCCAGTATGCCTGCCTCGGAAGGAAAGAACTGCACTTCATGTGGAGAAAAGCTCCCTGAAGTGTGCAAACATTTGAAATGCTTGATATGTTTGGGGGACGGAGGCATAGCGACCATCTCTTCAGTTTGCTTTTCAGGGGCTTTGGACTCTGTGGAGAATGACACAGCCAAGGAATCGGCGGTGTTGACCTTCCCCCCCTCCTCCATCAGGTATACTCTCGCTAGAATTACTGGGTCCAGTTGAGGCAAGCCAAGAGAGGGGAAAAGGCACCCCCCACTGCCAAAGTGCAGCCACAGGAAGTCCCCACCACTGGAAAGCAGTGCCGGAAGGCTAATCACCGGTTTTATCTGGACAAATAAGGGCTCGTTCCACCAGAGCCGTTGCAGCATCAACCACATTTCTAAAGGGCAAATGTCTCTTACATGACATCTGTAGGGCAACTGTATGGTCTACTCCACTCACTTTTGTCACCCACTACAAAATGGATCTTCAGTCCAAATGGGATGCCACCATTGGCAGGGCAGTTCTATCTTCCGCACTGGCATGACACCCACCATCCAACTACTCTACCGCAGGTGCAAATTTCACAGAGACCACAATGAAGAAGAAATTGTTGCTTACCTGTAACCATGTTTCTTCGAGTGGTCACCTGTAAAATTCACATAACTTGCCCATCCTCCCCACATTTGTCATGCAACAGTTCTTGGCGGCTGCTTTTGCGGCACGTTAGGAAACTAAGGCTACAGCTTCTTCCCTCTGGCTATATGCTCAGGGGGATGGGGTGGGGCTGTAGCCTTCTACCTTCAGGGGCTTTCCAGAGGAATCTGACTCAGCTGTATAACCACAGAAACTGCCACAGGTGCAAATTACACAGATAACCACTCAAAGAAATACGGTTACAGGTAAGCAACAATTTCTTCTCCCCCCCCCCCCCACCCGACCCAGTGGCTTCTCTTGGACTGGGAACCAAGGAAGGAACAACAACATGAAACACAGATGGTGGATTTGAAGCAATAGTTCTTTTAAGCCCTACATTCCTGGCTTCTAACTAGGAGCAATATTTTTCATGTACTGTGTTCAGCATGAGGAAATAACTCCCAAAAGGCAGTGATTCCAGGCTCTTAATCATCAAAAAAGCAACAACCATTATGAGAAGCGACAGTGGCAGGAATAGTGAGGTTGAGTGGTTTTCATATATCTCATGCATAGCACAGAAAGAGGAATTTTGTTTGGAATCTTGGGTTATTAAAAGTCTTCTTTAAAAGGGGGTGAGGTACATGGGAAGCTGCTGTATGCTGTTTCAGACAAATGGGCAAGATCTACTTTGACCGTCAGCAGCACTCTAGAGCCCTGGTTTCTAATCTTGAGCCCCAAGATGTTGTTGGAACATATTTTTCAGAAATCTGTGATCATTGACCAGGATGAATACAGCATCTATGAAAACAAGATTGGAAACCAATGCTCCAGAGCAGGAGTTCTCAAAATGTACACCAGGGAGCCCTTGGGGCGATTGTGAGGGGCTCTGCGGCACCATGCTGCTTCCTGCCTCCTCCTCTTTCCTCCTCTTGAGAAATGCAGGGAAATTGCAGCATGCTCTTGCGGCACATACCCTTTTTTCCCCCACCCCCACTGCCCAGACTATTTTGCTTGCCACCCAGACCATTCCCCTCTTACTGTCAACTCTTTTTCTCACTGCCCACACACACACACCCAAGCACACACACACTTTCTTTGCTTCCAAAACCCTATTTCCCTCCCATTACTCAGGAGGTGCTTTGGATGCTTTTGGCAGAAGGGGGTTGGACTGGATAGTGCCGGGGTCTTCCACTGAAATACTGTTAAGTTTATGTTGGTTAAAATTGTTCTTCATTTTAAATATTGTATTCTTTCTTTCTTTCCTCTTTTTTGCACTATGTGAATTAGTTTACACAAACACTATTCATCCATCTGCCACTGGCCTGGCCCATGTCTGATATATATACATTATATGTAATATAATATGTAATATAATGTATAAATGTTTCTTGAGGCTCCACAAGAAACTTTTGCTTCAAAAAGGCTCCGCAGCTGAAAAAAATTGAGAACCACTGCTCTAGAGGTCCAAATGAGAGTCTATTCAGTCCTATGTGGATGTACTGGGGGCTGAATATAGAAATGTTTGCATGCAAAGTCTGCACTCTCTCTTAAAGCAGTGGGTTTCAGGATATCGGCTACTGTCAAAATAAATGAACGGAAAGGCTGCACAAAGCCATATTTAGTCATTGTACAGCCGATTGGACTTTGCTGGATCTCCTTTCTCTAGATTCAGTAATAGAGTAAGAGTCACTGAAAATACTTGATACCTCTGAAGAAGTAGTAGTAGTAGAAGAAGAACTTTATTTTTCTACCCTGCCTCCATCTCCCTGAAGGGTCTCGGGGCAGCTTACATGGGGCCAAGCCCAAGGCAATATACAATTAAAAACAGAACAATAACATATTAAAATAGCATAAAAACAGCATAAACAATAATAAACAAGCATCATAAGGGGACCAAAATGCGAAACTAGTTAAAAGATAGGCTGGTCAATAAGGTAGATAGAATGTATAGTAGCATAGGAATAGAATAATTAAACAGGATCATTTCAGCTTGACTTAAAAGTGCAATAATCAAATATAGGAATTAACATTCAGGCCATGGTTAGAGACCATCTATCCAAGGGGTCCTCAGTCGAATGCACAATGAAACATCCACATCTTTATTTCCTTACGGAATGTGGATAAGGAGGGTGCCAACCTAATCTCCCTGGAGAGTGAGTTCCAGAGACGAGGGGCCACCACCGAGAATGCCCTTTCTCTCGTTCCCACTAACCATGCCTGAGACGGGGGCGGGAGTGAGAGAAGAGCATCCCCGGAAGATCTTAAGGACCATGTGGGCTCATAGGGGAGGATGTGGTCACGAAGATAGGCAGGTCCTGAACCATTTAGAAAGAGCTCTCTTCTGCTTGCTTTTAAAATTTTGAGGTGGAAATTGGGAGAAATGGCAGTTATTCAGCTGCTAGTGGAGATCTTTTGCCAAGTATTTTTCTCATTGTATAGGATTAAATGTTGCATTTTTCAGTGGGATAGCTAAGCTGCCTGATTTAGAGTGGAATATGTGGTAAGAGTCAGGAGGGCAGATGTTTTTGAGGGGAAAGTCTGTATTGAGAACAGATAGGGAGACAAAAGATGAAGCTGTATGTTATGGCAATAGATTTGTGTCTTCAACTACCGGTCGCTCTCCCAGCAACAGTAAGACCAAATAAGAGGTTTTCCAACAGCAAGGTGTGAGTTGACAGTTGGTCCTTTTTTGTTAGCTTCCCGCCCTGCCCCTGAGTGTACACCCACATGCACTTACACCCACTATCACTCTTTGATTGTGATCAGCCCTTATAGGCCAGGATCTTCCATAGCCACAGGTTGTTCTACCTGTAGTGAGGAATCTGGACATTGCAGCAGAGCGAAGTGGCTTCCCATCTCATTCATCCTGGAATCTCTCTGCCATTCTAACCATGTGATAATTAACGTAGCAATGTGATCGTTGTGTTCCACTACTGTTTCGTGCAGCATGCCTGAAGTGTTTCTCACTTGTGGTCATATGTTTATCCACCTTACCTGTTATCCGATTTCTCCACAGCCACTACAAAGGATAGAAAATGAGGTGGAGCTTCGGGGTGAACAACATCCCATTGGAGGCTTCTCGTATTCTCCTTCCCACCATACTCCTGCACTGTCTCCTTCTGTGCCACTGCATTATCTTCCGCACACCCATGACCCACTGCACCAGGAATTGCCCTTTGGCGTGGTGAGTATCCTGTTAAAAGGAAGATGGTTGCAGGGCCTTACATTGCAGGCTGTCTGGGATCATGAGGTCAGATGAAAGAGTCTTACGTAGTGAAGCCAACTATCCAGTTAGAAAAAGGGGTCTGTACTTCAGCAGAGTTGAGAGTTTCAGGTCTGAAAGGTGAACCATGGTGTAAGGCCCCCTCCAAAAGAGTACTGATCTTCTTTCAGGGGACTATATAGATGATGGATGCCACCTTACAAGATGATAACCCAGTATCCTTATCTGTTATGGACTCTATTGAATTGAGAAATGCAGGAAGTTCTCATGTAGGGAGGTTTGTGTATGCCATAGGATTTGTGCAGGACACAAGGACCATTGTGTTATCCTATCCCCTCCTTCTCCATCTTCATTTTCCCATTAGCCTGCAGGCATCTAGAATTTGTTGATGCTAAAAGGTACTTGAAACTGTTTGAACACTTTTCTGATACCTTAGAAACCTAGATGGCTGAATGAGATTTGCAATGATAGACTGTGTAGTTCTAGCGGCCCATGCAGCTTCTTCCTACTCTGTGTAATGAGCACCGCCAAAATAAGTTTTCCACATAGATTTGCATAATTGATAATGATACAGAAATTAGATTTTCTTGATGCAGAACATTTTGTCCAAACATCATTTCTGTTGGTTAGTTTGTTTTATTTGACATAGAGGGGAGGCTAGACAGAGAACTTCTTTTGATTCATGGGCCAAATTGGTTCTGGGCAAACACATCAATGGACTGTATGCTGACAGTAGATTCAGGCACAACATTAATTCGAACTCATTGTGCTTCCAACAGCCATATCCACACATGATGCCCCGACGACTTAACACCCAGCGATACAGGTTGCAGCAGCCACTGCCACCCCCACCGCCCCCTCCGCCTCCGTATTATCCGAGCTTCCTTCCATACTTCCTGTGAGTATCTCTTAACTAGGCAGACTAGAGAAATGGGCTCTATGGAGACGGACCTCTCTTTCCACTGAAATTGGATGGAGGGCTAGAATGGGTGCTTTTGTGCTTTCAGGTAGCCTCTCTGAGGGAAAAGGGTGGACTCTTATTTCCAACAATTTACTCAGTAAAAAATAGCCTTTAATTCTGTTTTACAATATGTAGGTACCTTTTTGACTTCTGCTCCTCTTAACCACTAGCTAACTTTTTTCTCTCCCAAAATTCAGTTCAATGCTTCCTGTATCACCAACAGCTGTGGGGCCCACAATAAGTTTGGACTTGGATGTGGATGATGTAGAGATGGAAAACTACGAGGTGGGTTGGTTCTCTTGTTATGGGGATCGAAACATGAAATCGTCTAGAGAAGGGTTGAGCAGAAGATGGTCCATCTGTATCTACTTAGTGGAAGCCACTCTAGTGTGGAGGCTTCTGCTTCCAAATTTTTAATCATAGTGACAACAGAATTCATTTTCTTTACCCTTTTAAATCATATGACTGAAAAAGGGTATGTTTGGGGCAACCAGAAGCAGATTTTTGTGTGGTAAGATGATGAGCTTCAATCTATTTCACTACTTGTAAAATTCTTTAATTGTCTTTAATTGTTGAAAAAGTTGTAGTGTGGGCTTAAGTATGATTTTTATTTTGATGTAGCATGTTCTGGGTGCAGCAGATAATTGCCTGCAATAAGGTTGGTATGGTTAGTGGATATAGTTTTTATGATGCCATGTGAAAATTTGGAGCAGATGTTGCACCATGTTAGGTTATCACGTATTAAAACTGTGGGAAAATTGTAAAATGTAATTTTGAATAATTCTAAAATTTAATGTAAAGACATGCTGATGTTGAATGTCTTAAAACTATCTCCCGCTACATTCTGAGAAGCGGTCTGTGACTTTTTTGTGACTGGCAAGGAGTCCGTGGAGCAATAAAGGTTAAGAACCCAAGATCTGGAGGATTCCCAGCTATGGCATAGAGATTGCAACCTTGGACATAAGTTCATAGTAGAAGAACTGGATTTTTCTAGATGAATGCTGTTGTATGATATATCTGTCCCACTCTTTTCAAAAACTTCCACCAGGCATTACTGAATCTGGCTGAGAGGTTAGGCGAGGCTAAGCCACGGGGACTCACCAAAGCAGATATAGAGCACCTTCCATCCTATCGCTTCAACCCAGAGAGCCATCAGTCGGAGCAAACTTTGTAAGTACTGTAAGAAAAGGTTGGGGTGTCTGTAATGGCTTCTTTGCAGCCAAATAATCTTAAGTAGGAACAAAAGTTAAACTTAATAATAATCATCGTCGTCGTCATCATCTCTTATTTATACCCTGCCACCATCTCCAATAGGGACTTGGGGCGGCTTACAAGCACACAACGGTGCCATACAACATATAAAATACAATATAACAACATTAAAACCAGTAACACATTTAAACCCAAACATATAAGACAAGAGCAATAGAATCAATAAAATATGACAATAGTCATTAATTAAACGATCCATACAATCAATGTAACAAATAGTCTACATGGTTAAAACAATTTAAAATTAAATACAAAACAAAATACCTATTTTTGTTTGAACTGCACAAAATCTACCTAAGGACTGTAAATGTAGCGGAAGTGTGATATACATACGTATTTTAAATAAAAATGTCTTAAGGAATTGACAATAAGTGGTAAAATTGCTTAGCCTTTTGATAATTATTGTTTAAGGTTTTATTTTTGTGAGGCATTTCCTTTTTATGGAACTAGAAATACAGATGCTCAAAATGAATCAACCTCGGGACCAACTGTTTATTTTTGTCCCCAGGGTTGCACAGTGTGTTAATTGCCTGGCTCTTGTGATTTTCCTATCAGGCTGCACAAAGGGCTGATTTGCCAGTTTGTGTGGCAGTCAAAAAGGCACTCTCTCCTTCTAGGCAGAAGAGGGATATAAGTTAAGAATAAAGAATGGACTGGGGTTTTTTAAAGCTCCAAATATATTTTTCACTGGATAACCATACTAATTAGGAGGTTATACTTTTTAAACAAAAAAAAAGCCACGTCAAAAATTGGGAGGAATGCTGTAGTATGGTGTATAGTGGTATCTGTGAGGTTTGGTTCCAGGAACCCAAGGAGATCAAAATCAGGGGGTGCTCAAGTCTCATTATATACAATGGAATGGTAAATGGCTTTTTGGAGTTAGGGGGGTGGGGAGCTGAAAAAGGTTGATAGAGGAATCCATGCATGCAGAATCTGTGGATATGGAGGACCAATAAAGAATGGCGGTGGGTTGAAAAGAAGCTTTTCCCCACCCAAAAAGCCTTATCTCTGGCTGCAGGATTGAGGTATGTGTGGCTCCACTCCACTTCTAAAGTCAATTTGTTCTTTAAGAATTAGGTTCTTATTCTGTGAGAGCAGATTTGTATATAGGCTTCCCATTGTGGAATACATAAATTGGATGAAGCTCTGTGGTTCTGCGCCCTCAGTAACCCAACAGTAACCCAACACTAGCTACAGGAGTGTACTGAACTGTGATGACCTACTACTTTCTTCTATGGAGAAGGAAAAAGGTGAGCAAATTGCCCTCAACTATCACTCTTTGGGGACCCTGTTGAACCCTGGATTCCAGCTTTTATCAGGAAACACTGGCTGAGAATGAAAGTATTGAGTCTTCACTATCTTCTCCATCTCTGATCAGAGATTGGAGATATAGGCCCAGGTTCTATGGTGTGCCCAAGAGAAATGCCATTGTTATCTCAGATCTTAGGATGAAGATAGAATCATAGAATTGGAAAAGATTTTGTGGACCATCCAGTCCAACACCTGCCAAGAAACAGGAAAATAGCATTCAATGCAGCCCTGACAGATGACCATCCAGCCTGTTTAAAAGCCTCCAAAGAAGGAGCCTCCATCACACTCCGGGACAGAGAGTTCCACTGCTGAACAGCTTTCACAGTCAGGAAGTTCTTCCTAATGTTCAGGTGGAGACCTGAAACTTCTTTGGCCCCAGAACAAAAAAGGGCCTCGAGGATTCCCTGGTACAGTGGATTTTCTCTCTTGATCTGCATAAAGTTAGTCTAAGAGAAATTCAATTGTTGGATTCTCCGAGAGACTTTAGGATTATAGTCCACATGCATTGGGCCTTTCTTCTTATTTGTAATGTAACTGATTGTATTTTTCCTGGCTTCTTCAGGTGTGTTGTGTGCTTCAGTGACTTTGAAGTAAGGCAGCTGCTGCGAGTTCTGCCCTGCAACCATGAGTTCCACGCAAAGTGCATCGACAAATGGTTAAAGGTAAGGTCTGCTGCCCAAGGGTTTTCTAGCCAGGAAATTACTGCCTTATAAATTCCTTCAGTGCTATGGCAAGTGTGCATAAGAAAGTGGTAATTATTCATGAGAAACGGGGAATGGGAAATGGGTATCCTGAAAACCAAAACCAAAACTTTAGAAAAGGGGTGACAAGCTGCCACAAGGCGCATCTGCACTACAGAACTGATGCAACCTGACACCACTTTAACTGCCATGGTCCAATGGAAACATGGGAATTGTAGTTTGGTGAGGCCCCATCATGCCTTGGAAGAGAATTTATAGAACAACTCCCATGATTCCTTAACAATGAACCATGGCATTTAGTGATGTCAAATTGCAATAATTATGCAGTGTAGATGCACCCAAGAGCTACATTCCCTGTAGTGCAGAGAACTTACAATTGTACTCATGGCTCTCCTTCCCCTCTTCTTCCATTCCTTCTATTTCTATCCAATTTCTTTCATACTTTCTTTGTAGCCATAGTTGCTAACAAGGGGAGCTGGACATTATGTCAAGGGCCACAGGTTGGCCACTTCTTCTTTAGAAAAGGTTCTCTCAACTCCTTCCATTGACTTTTTTTTGTAAAGGCATCAGAGTGAAACAGGGTCACTGGAAATATTCTTGGCAACTTTATAATGGCTGTAAATTTTTGTTTCACAATATGAGCGAATTAGCTGCATGCCCCTAAGCAGGGATATAGATGCTATTATGTACAAATATAATTGTTGCTCAGTTTCACCAGCAATTTCATCTGTAAAGTTCAGTCCAGACAGTCTTAATGATTATGAGAAAAGAGGGGCACATGGCATTTTTGCTCTTCTCACATGGAAAGTAATTTCGTCTTTATAACTAGAGGCTCTCCACATGCCCTGAAACTCTGAAATCTGGGTTGTGTGTGCGTGCATGTGGGGGCTCCAGATATAGAATCATAGAATCACAGAAGAATAGGAGTCTGAAACCTTGAAAATTATTATTTATGATGCATGTTTTTGTTTTATTTTTGTTTTACCTGGGCATCTAATAGGACAAATTGGATTTATTTAAATCACAAAATTAATTTCATAGATTTGGGTTTTTATGTTGAATAGAGCAGATGATTCTTAGGTGCTTCTCTTCAAATGTAGTTGCAGCTACACCTTCACCTGGTGGTTTTGTTTCGCTTAGTGAGGCTGCCTGAAAAGCGAATACAGTAGAGTCTTGCTTATCTGACCTTCGCTCATCCACCATTCTGTATTATCCAATGCAGTCTGACTCCTGCCTGGATCGACAGCTGTTTCAATACATTGCGATGTTTTGGTGCTAAATTCGTAAATACAGTAATTACTACATAACTTTACCATGTACTGAACTGCTTTTTCTGTCGATTTGNAAAAACAAAAACATTACAACGCATGTGCATAACCACATAAATACACATATACACAAATATATAAATACACACATACACACACACACACAAAACACATATACACAGACTAGGCCACAGCAACGTGTGGCAGGAGACGGCTAGTAATAGATAGATATGTAGCCCTCCATAAACTAGAATGAAACAGCCAGAAAATATTTGGCTTGCTGTCTGTAGATTGCAAATTTTCAAAACAGAGAGCTCACCTGCTGTACAGAATTCGATGATTTCACTCCACTCTGAAACCATGTAATCGCCATCAACTTGCTTTGACGCAGTCTGTACAGCCACTGTATACTCGGTTCTTGGGCTCAGAAACCAGTGTCCACGAACAGTCATTGGCAAAGGGACAGCTTTGGCCACTAGTTTTGTGGGCACATCCTAATTGGACAGGAAAAAAAAGGAGGGAGAAAGATCAGAAACATAGACAACAACAGTTACTAATATTATCACAACCACACCTACTTTGACCACTGGAGTTATAGGAGCATAGAAGTGGAGGTTGCTTCATAGGCCCTTAAGTCCAAGCTCAATAGATATCTTGAGCAATGATCAATCTATCAGGAACTGGGAAACTGATGTTTCTGTTTGATGTTTTGTCTTATGTCTGATATAACAGTCTGCATTTTTTATTTAATTTTAGTTAAGTCATAATTTGTTTTTATATGTTGGATTGCCAAATTTCATTACTATGGATGTATTGTTGTTGTGTTTGCCTTTTATGCTTGGATCTGCCCTGAATCCCTCCATTGTATGAAGACATAGTAGCACCATCTGTTGTCGCGCAAAAGCTGCAGGCATCGGTTACATGGAATAGATTCTTGTGGGTTTTTTCGGGCTATAGGACCATGTTCTAGAGGCATTTCTCCTGACGTTTCGCCTGCATCTATGGCAAGCATCCTCAGAAGTAGTGAGGTCTGTTGGAATTAGCCTGGATTCTTTTTGCACGGTCTGCCAAGGCTTTAATGGTGCTTCTTTTTTGACTTGGGTGATAGTTGGAGTTTTTATGTAGATATCTATGTGTGTGGGTTTTCTGTAGACGGTGTGACCCAATTGTTGATCTGGTTTGCGGATAACTAGGACATCTAGAAAAGGCAGTCTTCCTTCATTTTCTTTTTCCATTGTGAATTGGATTTTTGGGTGGATGCTGTTAAGATGGTCCAGGAACCTGTTGAGTTCTTCTTCTCCATGGCTCCAAATAGTGAAGGTGTCATCCACATATCTGAACCATATCGTGGGCTTTTTGGTTGCTGTCTCCAGGGCTTGTTTTTCAAAGTGTTCCATGTACAAGTTAGCTATGACCGGGCTGAGAGGGCTCCCCATAACTACTCCATCTTTCTGTTCATAGAATTCATTGTCCCACTGAAAGTAACTGGTGGTGAGGCAATGGTGAAACAGAGCCGTGACGTCTTCTGTGAACCTCTGGTTGATGAGTGCCATGGTGTCTGCTACCGGGACCATGGTAAATAGAGATACCACATCGAAGCTGATCAGTTTGTCGTTGGTATTTAGCTTGAGATTGCTGATTTTTTCTATGAAGTGGGCTGAGTCCTTGATGTAGTGTGTAGTGAGCCCAATATGGCTTTGTAACTGTGCAGCAAGAAATTTTGCTAGGTCGTATGTGGGAGATCCAATGGCACTCACGATGGGTCTGAGTGGGGTGGAGTCCTTATGGATTTTTGGGAGTCCATAAATCCTGGGTGGAAGGGCTTCCAATTTACATAGCTGTTGTCGTATGTCAAAGTTGATTGAGGAGTTCTTAATCAGAGTGTTGGTTTTCCTGGTTATTTTGGAAGTTAGGTCTTGCTTGAGTTTTTTGTATATAGTAGGGTCCAGGAGTTTTCTGATCTTCTCCTTGTGCTTAATTTGTAAAATCATAACGTAATTTGACATTTGATAGGCTTTTTCTTAATCCCTCCTTATTATCCAATATTTTCACTGTATTGTCGAAGGCTTTCATGGCTGGAATCACTAGGTTCTTGTGGGTTTTTTCGGGCTATAGGGCCATGTTCTAGAGGCATTTCTCCTGACGTTTCGCCTGCATCTATGGCAAGCATCCTCAGAGATAGTGAGGTCTGTTGGAATTAGGACAATGGGTTTATATATCTGTGGAATGGCTGGGGTGGGGCAAGGAGCTCACCTAGCTCCAGCAGGGAAGAGCTCCTTGCCTCACGCCAGCCATTCCACAGATATATAAACCCATTGTCCTAATTCCAACAGACCTCACTACCTCTGAGGATGCTTGCCATAGATGCAGGCGAAACGTCAGGAGAAATGCCTCTAGAACATGGCCCTATAGCCTGAAAAAACCCACAAGAACCTAATATTTTCACTGATCCAACGTTCTGCCAGCCCATTTATGTTGGATAAATGAGACTCAACTGTACTTGACTTTTCCCTGAAATCCTCATGCTTTGCCTTTGCTGTTGCAGGCCAATCGCACATGCCCAATCTGCCGGGCAGATGCCTCAGAAGTGCACCGAGAGGCCGAGTGAGGCTCCTCAACACACTGCTGCACAAATTTCACTCCAGGATATGGACCTTGGACCAGGGGTTTGGGCCGGTCTGTACGCTTAGCCTCTGGGGCCTCTCCTGGGATGTGGTGAGAATATAAACTATGTTATGACATCCCCCTCCCCCTCACCCCATGGCATGGACTGAGCCTGGCGGCAGAGCCGGCTCCGCAGTGTCATGATTTGTAGGGGGAGGTGCCCTCGTGTGCGCCGCACTCCAAAGACTCACCATCCTTGCGCCATTTACTCTCCAGGTGTTTGCATTCCTCTTTTCCCTTTTTTTTTGTTTTTGAATTTATGGTTTTCTTTTCCTGTTTTTGGTTTTGATTGTGTGGCTGTCTAACCCAGATTCTAGTCTGAACTCATTCCTTTCAGGTGGCGCCAGATTGGGTGAGGGCGCTCGAAACCAAGTAGACCCAAACGGAGACAGGGTACTGAAAGCCCTGCTTCCATACCCCCAGCCGCTCACCCAGAGTGCAGTGTGGCATGGCAGGTCAGCGGTGGCAGCAGCAAGGTTGATTGGCTGGCTGTGGTGCTGAGGCGAGCAGCCCAAGGCCTTGCCAACAACATCTGTGGCTCCACGCATGAAAACGGTGGCCCAGTGCCAGCTTCTGGTCTTTCCTACGAGCATCCCTTTCCTTTCCTCCAATGTCACCCCTCTTGATCCTCAGCCTTCCTGCCACCTGCCTGAGATGTCTCTGGGAGTGTTTTCATAACTAACAGGGGGTGAAGAAGTTTTTTAAAAAAGGCCTGAACAAGGTCCAGCAATATTCCACATCTTCTCTTGGTCATTAATTTCAAGCAATTTGGGGGACATGGGGGCAGCAGGAAAAAAATTAATTTTCCCACCAAAGGGCAGAAGAAGGGAGTGTTTAGGTGAGAATCTTTGTGACAATTCAGCCAATTCCATTTCTTGCTTACATAATCTGATGGGAGTTTGTGCAAGGTCCATGCCTTGGGACTGGGAATCATGTTATAACTGATGCCTTTTCCTCTTCCTGGGTATATGCACACATACACGTGGAAACTCTGTTACACCATTTAGGTCCCCCACCTCTGCTCCTTTCTCAGGCACTCATTTCTGTGAAATTTTCCTACAATCAAGTTAGTGCCACTGATTTTCAAATATTCCTGGGAGGTTGTCTTATGGGTGCATTCCCGTGCCCCCTCCCCATTCCCTGTTTTCCTCTTGCAGGGAAGGGGGAAGATGCTTAATAGTCTGAAGCAGGAGCCTTCAGCCCTCCCACCTATTTTAAATCTCTTCCCGCCCCGCTCTGTCCTGGCCCAGGCTAAGCCCCTGAAAGCTGTGAGGCTCTCAGCAGCAGGAATGCTGGGCAGAGAGCAGATGGGGAATTATTTATTAATCTTCTTGTTGTCTACCCTTGTGCTCGCAATTATGGAAAAATCCCATCTGGTGATCCCTCCTCTTCCTACCCTCTCAGCTGCTGTGTGCGAGGCCGCATCAGCTTTCCATAGGACCCAGCAGGCGTTTCCATTCTCCTCTGACCTGCTTTTTCTCGTTCTTCCTCTCCCTTTCCCCCCACACTTCCCATCAAGTTTGGCCTACTGCTGCCACCACCCTGGTGACTTTTTTCCGCATGGCCTGATGCTTGTGCTCTGGGTCAGGTACCTTGGGTGTTTTTTGCCGTGACAAAGCGTACACTTGAGTTGTGTGCCTTCCTGTGTCTGCACACCTACACTATCCTACCTAAAACACCTGCTGATTTGGAGTAAGAAAGCAACCAACCTGCCACCCTGTTACCAGAAATCTGTAATCGTTGAAATTTTAAAAAAAGTTGTTTTGCATGATTATATCGTGGAGCAAGAGAGAAGCCCTCGCTGTGTAATTGGTTTGTGTTCTGAAGCCTGGTGGAAGACTCGGAGAGGACAACAAAACCTAATGTAAATGTTCACAAATTATGCATGCATGTTATGACCAGCTTGGAACTTGGTATTGGCTATCTCTCTAGCCAGCTGTGGGGTGATGGGGGGTGGGGAAGAGGGAGTTCTTTGTGCTCAGCTGATTACTGCCATGCACTGTACTGCACATGTCCGCAACGCCTCACAAGGACCGTTAACGCTTTTCGGGGCATTTCTCTCTCCCCTCCCCTTCCCTCCCAGTAAGAGACAAATTGGAAATCTGGCCGGGCCCAGAGAAGGCAAGGTGGTTATGTTGGACTGAATCTGAGGTACAGGTGCCAAGGTTCAGGGCTGCCGAGTGGTAATAGCTGTCTTGGAGGAGCTTGGCAGAGGTGGCATCTCCTTCATGGTGCTTCAGAGAGGGGAGAAGTCACATCTGCTGATCTACTCCTTCCCCCCTCCCACCCCAGTAACTTCCCTCTCTACAGTTCTTACCAGCACGAGAGTCTTGCTTTGCATCAGTTAGCAATCCAGCAAGTCCAAGGTGGCATGATCCAGAATTCAGGCTCTGCCAGCTACAAGGCAGGGACTTGTTTTTCCTTTGCCTGCTCTGCTCTTTCTGCCCATTTCTTCCTCAGTGACACACCTGCTTCAACTGGCTAGCTAAGCCTGGGTTTAGGTCTTTTTCCTCTTCCATTTTGAAGTGGATGGTCGCAGGTGAGAGCAGTGACAGTGCAGAAACCTCCTGGACTGGACTACGTTTTCCCAGTTCTTCCAAGAGCTCTTCTTCCCAAGTCTTTTCAGAGAAAGGGATGAAGGTGTCCTCCTACTGCCGCAGCCCGGCTGCACTAAATTCAGTCCAAATGAATCCGTGCCTCTTTGTTTTCGTGCGGACATTTGTCCCAGATGGACACTGCGCATGTGTTGGATCCCTGCCAGAAATGTCCAACATCACTCTGGGTCAAAGGGCCACATGAAAACAAGGAGACACGGATGAGAAGATCAAGGAGGAGGGCACTTTCCTCCATTACTTTAATTGGGATGGACCACCCAGCAGGGAGCAGGCTTGCATGGGGAAGATGGTTTCTCACCTGGCTCTTATCTGGGTGGGTTGTTTGGGGTGGTAGATGACAACGGACAGGGCCTCTCTTAAAACAGCAGGCAGACATGGCATAGCTGCCAGTGGGCTTGTTCTCCCCCCCCCCCTTTTTTTTTTTTTTGAGCACACCGGCTTTTAGCAATACTTACCTCAAAAAGCGGGGGAGGGGGGGGAGGTCCTTTGGCAGGGGTTACCTGGCTGGGCCTCTTGCCACTGGTGCTCACAGCCATATGTGGCAGGGGCGAGTAGCTATTCTCCCCTGGCAGTTGCTAGAATTCTTGACCCACCTGCGGTTAGGAGGTGCTGGGTGCATGCGTGAGACCAGTTGGGAACCACTTTTGGCTTCTTCAGTCTTAGTCTAGCATAGTACTGGTCTTCAGCCCCTTACTTTCTGAAGTCAAGAGAAAGCACTGGGCATGCAAGAAGTATCAAGGTGTAGCTTGCCCTTCAATGGACTAGCAATTTCTGTTTGACAGATGCAGCTGGGCTGCTGCCGCCTGAATCAGCAAACCAGAAACTTACATGTTGAACTCTGGGCAGGGCCCAGCTTTCTTTCTTTAAAAAAGAAGAAACCTCTGACCTAAATTTATGATGAATGAAGATGACTATTTTTACGGTTTGTTCTTTTCTTGCCTGTTTGTGCTTTGGCTGATGCAGGTTATGGTGCAGTCATTTGGATAAGGTCAAATAAGTTAACCTCTTCCTCCCCCTGCTCCCCTTTATTTTATCCCAAGGGTTCGCATAGCTGCAGTTGGACATCTTAAGCCAGATCCTGGCCCGTGTGTGCAAACACACACACAAAAGAATGGGCCACTTGCCATAGTAAAACTGCACAGACACCAGCAGCTCCCTTCTTCCGATGCCTTCAGTGACCAATCAGTTCCCCTCTCCTCTTCACGTCGAGCCAGTGCCTTGTGTCAGACCCACCTCCTGCCCAGCCTTCCCTTCTTGTTTCACAGCTTTTTAAAGGAAATAAAACAAATATGAATGAAATACAAATAAAAGCTTAGCCACATGATACAAATAACCAAAGGTCTTTATTGTATATATCAATATATACATATTTTAAACAAACCTGACCACTCAACCTGCAGGAGGTGTTTCTATATTTATAGCCAATCAGAATAGTACCGATGCCAGTCTGTTTTCAATGCTCTCTTCTCCTTCCCTTGCCATCTTTTCCCCCCCAGCCCCCCGAAAGGTTACTTGGGGATGGGGAGGTTAGAAAAGCCTTACGGTTCTTCTGATGGTGACTCGAAAGCTCACAGCTCGTGTGCTGCAGAATTTATTCCAATGAGCAGCTAAAATTATTATCATTAAAACAAAAAAGACAAAAAAATGACTAAAACATTTATTTAGGATGTTTGTGATTGCTGATTGCGCTGTAGATGCCACTGTTTACCAATGATTTCCTGTGGTGGGATAGTGGACTGTTTACTGTTCTTTTATACCAGTCCCGTGCCCTCCAGAGGGACAGCTCAGCTTCACCCTACAAGGAAAAGAGCCTCCCTGTAGGGCACCAGGGCATTTGTTCTGTGTTAGAAAATTTATATATATATATATTATATATATTATAAATATATATATATAATTTTTTTTGCTCTGTTACTTGCACATTTACAGTTACCTCATTTTTCCCATGTATGTATTTGAAAAAAGGCTAATATATAGAGAAGAAGAAAAAGGTTCTTAAATCTCTAAAAAAAGTGTTTTGTTTTGTTTTTCCATTCCATTGGAATCATATTGGTTTGTAGCATTTAACATAACTAGTATGTTGTATTATATATATGTGTATTATACTGATTGAAATTTTTAACAGATTTGTACTTTTTTTAAAATGAAAGTTGCTAGTTCTGCTTGACCAAGTAGTGCAATCATTATTTTTTTTAATGTTGTGGCTGATTTTGAGAGGGATATTCACTAATAAATGTATGATGTATACCAATGAGGGCAAGCCAGTCTCTTCTCTTGGTGGAGGCAGTGCCTTCACAGGGAGGTTGGTCACTGTTATTAGATGGATCCTCTCTCTCCTCCAATGACTGAAGGGTGGCCGGGCTAGCTCATCGTGGATGAGTCAGTGAACTTCATGTACCTCAAGAGATGAGAAGTTTCAAGTTTTACCACCAGGATCCCCAGTGGCCGCAGTAGGCCTGGAAATGCAGAGCAGAAGAATTAAATCTGCACTGTAAGTTGTGTGTAGTTTGAAAACACCTGAGCCTTGAGGGTACTGTGCTAAAATCGAAAATTCCTGGATACCCCCCAGAAGAGAAAAGAATGCTTTAGGACGCCTGCATGCAGTCACCCTCCCCATATTTCTCTTACCCATGATCTAACTTAGGTTTTCCAATCAGATCTTTTCCTTTCAGAGTTACTGGTACCAAAGCTGGCTCTGTCATAATTATGACAGAACAGCAAAAAGTCACTGTAATGTGCTTCTATTTAACTTGTTCCATAATTTCAGTAGTAGAGCGCCACCTAAAAATACCAAAAATGTAAAGGCAGATTCAATAATTTTTCTGGACAAACTCCAGTGACGCTGATAATGTTCGTGCAACTATAGTTTGGTGTTTGCATTCCTGCAAAGATAGAAGAGCAAGGGAGCCTTTTCAAGGCTTTTTCAAGCACTCCCGAACAGCTCTCAGGAATCTTCCAGATGGGGCAGGTGTGTTGCAAAGTTTTGGTGGTTTTTTCCTGCAGTTTTGTAATTTCCTGCTGACCCAGACTGCTTTCAGTCCACCTTTTATTTCCCTCCAAAAATATTTGCCCTTCAAACTTGTCTTCAACAAAGCACACCCATTAGAAAAACTAGAAGAACCAATAAGAGATATCAAATCAATTGCTACAAAAAGATTCAAAAGGATGGAACAAGAGTGTGCAGTGGTGATAACAATTGGCAAGGCCTAAAGAGTTGCATCACAAGAACTCACACTTTGGATCACTATGGTGGAGAATGTGGCTGTGCCCCACTAGTTTCAAAGGATAATCCAGTACAGCCTGTGGGTAAATTGCAGTAGCTTCCGGTGTCCAAGTCTAACAAGCACAAGCAAAGATGTGGACTATAGCACACTAGTGGCCTGAAAATTTTCAAAAGTTCCTTTAAAAACCAAATAATAGAACCCTATTTGTTGGGTGGTATCTGATCACCAAGCATGAAAGCAGCCCTAGTTGGCATGATCCAGCAAATGTTAGTAATGATTAGACTTTGCTAGAAACAACAGAACACCCCCAAGCTTAGTGTTTACAGCTGGATTTAGTCATATGCAATTTCAGTGTTACTCCAGCTTTTGCTTTTTTAAAACAATGAAAGTAAGGGGCATTTTAAATAGCATCTTCATCATAAACGATGTGCTTGATGCCATATCTATTTATCTATACATATAATAAAAGTGAAAGTTTGTATGCAGAGGACAAAAGTGTGGCGGTGTATGTGCCAGCATTCTGATTGGCCAGCCTAAAAGTTCCAAGATTCGGATTGGCTGCCGCTGTGGTGCTATTTGCATATAGTCTCTGATTGGCCAGCTTTACAGGAGCCCCTGGTGGAGAAAAGGGTTCATGACAGAAACGGAGACATGAGAGAAGGAAATTTGCATATGGTCTCTGATTGGCCAGCCTCAATTCCAAGATTCCGAGATGACAAAGAGAGGAAAAGGCCAGAGGGGGCTGGGTCAGAAAATTACCAATACAGACCAAACTTGGCACGCAAAGCCCCCATGACCCACTCGACATCCTACTGCAGTTTGGAGGAGGATGAACCATGAATGTTGGGACTTGCAGTACCATCACTCACATTCTGAGACCTCTGTTAACCTCATCCAATGACTGATCAGGACCAAACTTGGCACATAGACCTCTCATGACCCACTTTATGTCCTGGTGTGGTTTGGCTGGGGATGAACCATGGATTATGGGACTTGCAGTACCTTTTCTCAATTCCTGAGACCACTGCAACCCTCATCCAATTATCGATAAAGACCAAACTTGGCACACTGAGCCTCCATGATGCACTCTACATCCTGGTGCAGTTTGGGGGAGGATGCACCATGGACGATGGGACTTGCAATACCTGCACTCCCTTCCTAAGACCATTACAACTGCCAACAATGATGGATCAGGACCACAATTTACACAGAGAGTCCGCATGACCCACTCTACATCCTGATGCGGTTTGGAAGAATTTGTCAATGGATGATGGGACTTGCAGTCACTTCACTCACTTCCTGAGACCACTGAGACCCTTGCCAATGAGTGATCAAGACCAAACTTGGCACACAAGCCCCCATGACCTGCTCTACATCCTGCTGCAATTTTGTAGGAGGGTTGACCATGGATGATGGGACTTCCAGTACCTTCACTCACATTCTGAGACCTCTGCGAACCTCATCCAATGACTGATCCAAGACCAAACTTGGTACATAGACCTCTCATGACCCACTTTACGTCCTGGTGTCGTTTGGAAAAAAATGGAGATGGATGATGGGACTTGCAGTAACTTCACTCACTTTCTGAGACCACTGAGACCCTCGCCAATGACTAATCAAGACCAAGCTTGGAACATGGAGCCCCAATGACCCACTCTACATCCTGGTGCAGTTTGGAGGAGAACAAACCATGGATGATGGGACTTCAAGTACCTTCACTTCCTTCCCAAGATTGCTGCAACCCACATCTAATGACCAATCAAGACCAAACTTGGCGCACAGAGCCCCCATGACCCACTCTACATCCTGTTGCAGTTTGAAGGAGGATGGACTTTGGATGATGGGACTTGCAGTACCTTCACTCACTTACTGAAACCACTGCCACCCTCATCCAATGACTGATAAAGACCAAACTTGGCACACAGAGCCCCCATGACCCACTCTATATCCTGCTGCTGTTTGGAGAAGGGTGGACCATGGATGGGACTTCAAGTACCTTCACTCACTTCCTGAAAACAATGCAGTCGTTATCCAATGACCAATAAAGACCAAACTTGGCATACAGAACCGCCATTACCCACTTTCTCAACCCGGGCAGCGCCGGGTCCCCAAGCTAGTTTACTATAAATAAAGACAAGAACCATGCAACAAACTTTTTCCATACCATTTTCACCCATGCTTAGATAAGTAATTGGTATGCTTTAGATAGAAAAATCTATTACAGGACTATGCCTTCAGAAATTCATTTTCTAAAAAGACTATAGCTCAGAAATGCTCTTGGTGTAAAGTAAAAAAACCCCTGCAAATTAGTTAAAACAAATGCAGAGACTGTGAAATTAACTCAAATGTGACTCCATGTCATTGCAACTACACTGGATGTGGAAAGCCACATTTTCTCCCATTCCTTTGTTCTATACACGTATAAAGTAGGGAATGAACACAATTTAATTGCTGGTTTTAAAAGGTAGGCACTAGACTAGAGAAAGGAGTGGGACCATCCCCTCCTTGAACCATCCTGTACTCTATTGTTTTGCACACTCACCTCCCAAACCAGCTCATTTCTGGAACTGGAGCCAGGCAAAGGACTGAAATTTTAGAAGGAGCAAACAGGCTAGCCCCAAGAGAAGATTTCTCATCAATTTTGTGTTTCAGTATGACCCATTAAACACACTTAAAAAAATAACACATCAAGATGATGCTGTCAACAACACAGTGGGACATACTGTATTTCCTCAAGTACAATGCTCCATCGAATGTAATGTACACCTGAGTTTTGAAGGTTCACTTTACAAAACATGGATTTGCCGTTGAATGTAATATGCCTAACAACAACAGCACAGCACATCAGGGAGGCAGGCAGCATGAATGAGGCCATTTGGGAAGCCATGCTCCTCTGTCAGGATGAGGCTGTCAAACTCRCAAGTCTCACGTGATTCCCAACTGGCCTCATTCACAGGGCCTTCAGAAATGAAACTGAGGTTTTGAAGACTTTATGAATGAGGTCAGTTGGGAATTGCATGGAACTGAGCTTGGGGGGGGGGGGGGGTGAGAGAGCCTGAGGACTACCCGGGAGGCAGGATCCACTGCTTAGTATCAGGAATGACTGAGTCACCAGCCAGGCGCTCCTCCCCCTCCCCTGGCCAACACAGATCCAAGACTGCCGCCACCACCAGGAACAGCCTCTTGATGTCCTCTGGACAGGGTCTTGATGTCCTCTGCCTCCCTGTCCAGTCTTTGGGGTTCTGGGTTCCTCTGTGTCTTTTCACGAAGGTGAGTTTATGCGCACAATTTCTAATGTGCCATCAAATCTAATCCACACCTCAATTTTGGTAATGTAATTTTAGCCAGAAAAGATAAGCATTGGTCTCAAATAAATATGGTAAAAGCCACAGCTGAGAAACCAATTATTAGACAGTAACTGGGAGTCTGCTCTCTGCATGGAGACAGTTATCAAATAATTTAACAGAGAAAAGTGTAAAACTGAATTTTTATACTCACATAGGATTTCAGATGTTACTACAAATGTACATGTGGAGAGAAAGTCTACATTGAATTATGTCTCTTCCTACAGGGAAAAAGATCCTTATATTTTTCTTCTCCCATCCAAGGAAAATAAAAGAGAGGGGAATCTAAGTATGGAAGATAGAAATAATGTTGCATTTTATGACCAGAATTTAAATTCCAAATGCTACCTTGCAGGAACCAAAATTATTTTCAACATATTCAGTAGCAAGTGGGTAGGAGCTCCTCTAGCTCAAGGAGTTACAAAAATGATTTCTGTGTACAAATTAAGCATGGGTTCTTAATTTTCTAAGAAAATTATAAAGCTGTTTTTTTTAGCTGGAAATACAAGAGAAAGTAGTACTTTTGACCCCATGAGCATCCCAATAAGGTTGGGGCACACTCGAGTCAACACTCATCCTTAATATGGGTTGGGTTAAGGATCATATTCAACAATGTTACTGGAACTGGGAGAAAAAGTGTGACATGGATGTATACTCCAACATCTCCACCCTCCCCCTGGCAAGTTCATGTGCCCCTTGCTAAGCTATTCCAGAGAACCAGGAGCCATAGAAGTAAATAAACTTGTTCTCCAGCAATCATCCACCAAATAGTCCTCCAGATATTTTAAACTTCAACTTCCAATCAGACATTTGAGAGTTGAAGTCTAAAATATCTGGAGAACCAAAGATTGGGAATCACTACTGGATCTTTTCACAGAAGCTCTATGGATTCAATCCAGCGAGGGAGCTGTTTGTTCTGCAAAGAGAAAATCAGTTCACCATTTAGACTTGGTCTCTTCTAGGCAGGCAGGCAGGCACACAGGCAACACACCTCTTAAAACTGACAAAACAATCATATACCAGTGGGTTGCTGTGAGAAGCATTCTCTCCTGAGCTGGAATGTGTCCAGAGGGCGACTAAAATGATCACGGGTCTGGAGAACAAGCCCTATGAGTTACGGCTTAAAGGGTTGGGCATGTTTAGCTTGAAGAAGAGAAGGCTGAGAGGAGACACGATAACCATGTTTAAATATGTGAGAGGAAGTCATAAGGAGGATAGAGTAAACTTGTTTTCTGCTGCCCTGGAGACTAGGATGCGGAACAATGGCTTCAAACTACCAAGAAAGGAGATTCCATCTGAACATTAGAAAAACTTCCTGACTGTTGAGAGCCGTTCAGCAGTGGAACTCTCTGCCCCGGAGTGTGGTGGAGGCTCCTTCTTTGGAAGCTTTTAAACAGAGGCTGGATAGCCATCTGTCGGGGGTGTTTTGAATGCAATTTTCCTGCTTCTTGGCAGGGGGTTGGAATGTATGGCCCATGAGGTCTCTTCCAACTCTATGATTCTTTGACATTTTTTCCACATCTATGGCAGGCATGTCTCCCACCCTGAACATTCCACAGATATACAGAGTGAGACAGCATAACTTCCTTTTTTCAAAACTTAATAAAACTAATTGTATGAATCAGAAAAAAATTATACTGTAGGTGCATACCTAAAGTTTTGTTTTATGTAGTTTTGAAGATCAAATTAGGTAGGTGACGTCCCCCATTCTCCATACACTGAGTAAACGGATTTCTGGCGTTTGTCATGACTCTTGCCAGCATAGCAGGCATTATGTTGGCAATTTCTTCCAGGATGTTTGTCTTCAAGTCTTGTAGGGTCCTTGTACGGTTCACGTAAACACGGGATTTCAAAAAACCCCGTAGGAAAAAAAATCACAAGGGACCAAATCTGGAGAGCGGGCCGACCACTCCAAATCCGCTCGAAAAGTAGGCCTCAACGGCAAAAGCACGTTCCTCACTGTTCCAACGCATGATGGCAACTGAACTGTGTCAGGACAAAACTTTATACTCCCGCCTCTCGAACGAGACCACTAGCGCTCCGCTACGTCTTCAACTGACTGAATGGCGCACATTTTAAAAAAGGAAGTTATGCTCCCTCACCCTGTATAAACCTCACTTGCCTATAGTTTCCAATAGATCCCTCAACCTCTAAGGATGCCCGCCATAGATGTGGGCGAAATGTCTGGAGAGAATGCTTTTGGAACATGGCCATACAACCCAGAAAACTCACAGCAACCCAGTGATTCCAAACATGAAAGCCTTCAATAACACATTAAGACTATACCACTCAACTTGCTCTGTGAAAATTACTACCTTCCTTGCTTAGAAGTTAACTCTTCCTTGCTTCCAAGTCACTTCTGTAGTCATCTAGTTGTGGTTTGGGTGCTAAAGGTCTCACCAGTGTGAACAAAGGCAAATTTAATGGACTGTGGCGGGGTATAAAAACAGTTAAGATAACATTGCCAAAGACAATTGAGCCCCTAAAGCTGTTTCAGCACAAGTTGGGGCGGACCCTCATTTCAGGACCCTCATTTCACGCTGCATCTGGGCAAGGTGCCATCTATGTAGGCAGTAAGAGACTGAGAATCAACGTGTTAGCACAGGCACACTAGAGGCAGAGTTTATTACACTACGCAGGCTAACAGCCCTGGAGAAGAAGAACCCCTGCTGTTAAGAATGTCAACCAGCTCCTTGTTTAAAAAAGAAAAGGAAAAGAAAACACCATTATTACCCCCATTCTCCTTTGGTCATTACAAAGCAAAAGACATTTAAAAGAGATTTATACAGAGTGAGAAGCTGGAAAAAATAACTTTCTGCCCATCCCGACCCAACCAGGGCAGAAGATGTCAACCTGGCCTCCAGGTACGGTCCTCTGGATGTCACAAGCAGCAAAACACCAGGTTTCCTAATGTCAAAATGTCAGGGTATATTATTTTCAATAAAAGCAATATTTATCAAGAGCTGCCGTTTCTGACCATCTCTTGGGAGGGCAACGGTGGCCTCTCCCATTTGCCCTCTGAATGTAAAAAAGGGTTGCGTGTTGCGCGCGTGTGCAGTTTCTCCCGCCAGTGCAGACACATAACGTGGCAGGCTGAGGCCACATAGTCTCTGATCCCTCATTTGTATGCAGCAGTCTTTAAAAAAAATATTGTATTATAATAGGAATCTCGTTCCATCTCTGTATTTTGGAGGGGGAAAAACATCAATCGTCCGTGAGGTCCTGCACAAAGAGGACTTCCGTGTGGCTGAGTCCCGCTTCTTGCAACGTGGGAGGGTTGGGCCACTCCTCTGTGGGAAGGCAGGGCAGAACGCGGCGAGGGAAATTGGCCTCAATCTGGAACTTCTCCGGACTCTCTTTCAAAGAGAACAGGAAATCATGGATCACCTGGAAAAGGAGGAAAACACTGCTTGCCAAAAGGTTTCTCTTACGCTGAGAAAGGTGTTGCCACAGTGGATGGAAAACAGGTTAAAGCAGAGTCTCAAATCACAGTACACACTTTTGTGCCCACTGGGAGACTATACATTAAACTACCTACTTTGTGACGATCATAAACCCTTAAAGCAGTGGTTCTCAACGTGTGGGTCTCCAGATGTTTTGGCTTTCAACTCCAAAAAATCCTAACAGCTGATAAAATGGCTGAGATTACTGGGAATTGTAGGCCAAAACACCTGGGCACCCACACGTTGAGAACCACTGCCTCAAAGATAACTTAACAATTTCTCATGTTTGACTAACAAGCACCCCTTTTTTCACTACTTGGATCCAGAGTTCCCATGATTGGTTCTGTTGTAGGTTTCTGGTTTGTTGTATTTGCCCATTCCCTGTTTCTCTTACAGGCCTTACAGCTCCCTGAAAAACATCTCTTGGGAGACCTAGGTTCACAAACTATGAAGCAAAGCATAAATTCTAGGGTTCAGCATAACCTCTGTAAAATTCTTCCCAGAGTAAAACTTGTACAGTAAGGAGAGTTCTAAAATGGGAAGAATGTTTTGATTTGTTTCTGTTTTTCTCTCAGTTCTATCATTTCTACACTCATTCTCTCATTTCATTTATTCAAACTGGGCTGCTGCTCCTGCTAATTCAAACTAAAACCCAGGAGTTTTTGCTGTGCACTTACTGATAAAGATTGTGTGAAATGGAATCGCCTCTCCACTCTGGAGTCGTTGGGCATCTTGAAGATGATCTTGACACTTTCCGGGTCATCAGGATGGGGCTCTGGGGGAAGGCATTCCGATTTTCGTTCCTTCTCCTCCTGCAAAGTCTGCAGTGATAAAATGCAGGTGTGAATGGCAAGCTCCAATAACTTGTAAAATCTAGATATAATTGTAGTTGCCATATCAACACAAGCAAGGTTACCATGAATTATTGTCACCTGACTTCAAAACTGACAAAATAATATTCTCTACAGCCATTGAACAAGGACAAAACATGGAAATAACAGAATTCCGGGAAAGGCCTTATAAAGTTACAGGACTATGACGAGGGATAACTAATAAGCCAAGCTTAGACCCAGAAGGCATTAAGCAGTTTTACATGTTACTGAATTCAATGGAAGTCAAAACATGCCCTTCCAGCTCTTCAAAAATACAGAGAAGAAATCATAAATTAAGTTTTGAAGTAGATCCTGGGACCTAGAACCCCTCTATAGAAATATATTAAGGGATACTATTTTAACTGAATAGCAGCTGTTAATTATCACGTACTGTTAATTATCATATAGTGGCACGGTTTAATTACCATTATTGAATAAATTCTAAACTCAGGACATGTCCACCACCTATTTGTATTATAAAGACCAAAAGCCTGATTGTTTATCGCTAAGGAACACATTTGCTTCTTACCCGTTTCCGTCTTTCTTCTGCCAGCTTCTGCTGCTGCACTTCCTCCTCCTTCCTCTTCTTCTTTTCTCGTTCTTCTTTCTTCTTGCGCTCCTTCTCCTGATCTGCCCGCAAGGAAGCCAAATATGCCTCATCCTGCTGCTGTCTCAGCACCTGAGTTTGGTTTCTCTCTTCTCTAACAGACAATAGGAAATGTATCAGTACAACTAAACAAGTTATGTAAGGACACTGCCTATACATTCTAAAACAGAAATGTCAGGATTTGGGAGGGAGTGGTTTGGGGTTATAGTTAGCTGCTTACATGCATAGAGCTGCAATTTGCAGCAAAGGAGCATTGGGTCTAAGATGCCTCTCAGCGAGTGCCAATCCTCTTTTTGTAGGAAACTGAAAAAAAAAAATCCCTGCACACAACTGAGACCAGAGAAATATAATTGAGGGGAGAAATTGTCAAGCTACCCCTGTGGCTTCAGCTAGCCGCCTGTGTGGCATAGTCAAAGAGACCGGGAGGCAACCAAATGACACTTGCAATGAAGCCACAACACTGGAATGAGGACTGGCCACTTCCTAGAATACTAAGTGAGAAAGTAAAGGAGTTCCTTCACATAGACAGATGGCTTCAGCTGAATAGACAGCAATAAGTAAAATATTCCTTTAGCTTCAGAATTAAAGGTGCAGCCATGCAAAAAGGGGCAATTCACCTAGTTGTATGAATGCTCTATTTAATTAAGGTTCAGGTTTGCTTTATTTTGTTTGTAAAGCAAAAGAAACCATTTATTGTATGTTGTACTCTAAAATGTGAGTAAATCAGCTAGAAATAGCCATGCAGAAACAAGTAATGTCAGTTCCACTCCACTTCCAAAATGCCTAACTATGCCTCAGGACAATCTTGTACAATTCTCAAAACGTAAGTATTTCAGCTACAAAAAAAAACCTTACCCATATGACTGCACTGGTGACATGCGTACCTCTACATAAAATTCAAGTCAGTATACATTATATCCTTAGAAATGTGGATCTTAAACCACTACTTGGTTCACGTGAGTATGAACATGACTAAGAAAGCAGTGTATCAATAAGTGCAGAGCACTGGGGCCTTTGGATAGAGCAGGTACTGATACTGAGGATGTCCTCCCAGCTGCCCATGTGCTGCCTGATGAGCAAATACTCAGTAACAGTGAGGAAGCAGAGCCACTTGGATCCCTGCTTCTATGTGGCCCTTATAGGTCCCAAAACATGCTTTCATGGTGGTTGGGAAACTAAGCAAGGAATTTAAAAAGCCCAAAGGCTAGCACCTTTAAAATGCATCTTGAATTTCTTCTCTTCTTACAACATCATTAGTCAATTTCTTAGGAGCAACAAAGCAATATGCTGCTAGACTTCATAATTAGTGTCATTTGCTTAATTTCTGGCTGTACACTCCCTTGAGAATGACTTCTGTCATAGAAACACAGCATAGCAACATGGTAGTGGCATACATGAATGTCAGTCATATAACAAAATTAAGGCCTACCAGGGTATTTTTCATTTCTGAGGTCTATTGAGTGTAGTTTAGAGTAGCCATAAGACTTGAGAGTCTTCACACATCAGATGCAAATGATAGGTTATTTAAGTCTATTGTATGATTTAGACCAGGGTTCCACAAACTAAGGCCCGCAGGCTGGATCTGACCCTCCAAAGTCATTTACTCAGCCCTCGCCTTAGACCAGTGGCTATCAACCTGTGGTCCGCAAGAACAAAAATATGGTCCTCAGCCTCACCATTATTTATTTATTTACTTGCTGCATATATATACCGCTTTTCTCACCCCTGAGGGGAGTCAAAGCCATTTCCAACGTAATAGTGGCAAAATTCAATGCCTCACATACATATTCTAGACAATAACATAGACTATAAATTAAGAGCCTTAACCATATTACACATAAAACAACATATATATTAAAATCGCATCATTAAAACATATCAATTAAAACAGTTATTTTACTACACTGTTGCCTTGAAACCATGCGGCAACTAGAGCATCAGGAGGGGTGTGGCTAACTATCCACAAAAGACTACTACTACCACATCAGCTCTAGATATTAAATATGGTTTTCTATAGATGAGCAGATGACAACTACTGGATGGCATATGTTCTGTATCAGAAACTAGAGCTGATGTAGTCTATCCAACGCAATTTTCTGAACCAGCTCCTCAAATAACAACGCCAAATCAGTTGACCAAAAACTGATTCGTAATCCTTTTGGTGTGAATATTGGAGAGTAGTCCCTGGTCAAGTGTTTCCTAGTCAAAAAAAAGGCTGGGAACCACTGCCTTAGCCTTAGGGTCGCCCTAAGTCCAAAACAACACGAAGGCACACAACAATAGCAATTCTAATTAACTTGCCTATCTCATCAGTTAAAAGCAGGCYCACACTTCCCACTGAAATGCTGGTAAGTGTTTTGTTGGTTAAAATTGCTCCATTTTAAATACTGTATTGTTCTTTCACTTTTTTGCACTATAAATAAGATATGTACAGTGTGCATAGTCTCCCCCCCCCCCACCCTCCACCCCCAACATTACAAGGAACTGTGAACTTGCCCTCAGCTTAAAAAGTTTGAGAACCCATAATTTAGACTGACCAAACAGAAACACATTACGAATTGTGGAACTGAAAAGAGTGGGGCAAGGCAAAAGGTACCCCTATTTTCAGCCTAGTACCTTTCCAGGCGCTCTGACACCAGATATGTCTGATTGGCATCCATGATGAATGTCAGTTGGTTAATGAGGTCATCAGGTTGAATGAGTCCTTCTAACCTTCCAACCACAGTCATTCTGCGGTCTTTCAGCATGATCATCGCTAGGAATGGGTAGGTGTTCTCACGCAGAGCCTGAGATACTAACAAACACATTGCAAATATTTTTTTCAACTGTTTTAGGCTGTTGTTAAAAATTAGGCAATGAACATAACAAAAAAAATTAAAAACCAACAATCACAAATAAACTGGCAAGCCAAAAATGCAATTCAGATAATGCTAATGAAAATAAGGGAATCCTCTGAGTTAAAGAAGGGCAGCCAAAATACCTGCCAAAAAGAAAAAAAATGCTTGGCGCCAATAAAATATTATTTGAGAGGGAGCAAAAGTACAACTTCAATTTTATTTTTAAACTACTTCTTGAAAATAGCATCCAGATATTGCCTTGTATCTGTTACCCGAAGTATTTATCTCACATATTATATTCAAAACGTAGTCACTACTGCTAATATTTTAATCTAGAATGACAGATTAAAACCAATACAAAATGAAATACAACAGATCAAAGACTCAATATTAGAGGAAGGAAGAAGGCATCAAAAAACTTTCCACAAAATGATATGGCTTCTCAACCACTTGAATTCCATCAGAGGGAGCAGGGGAATCTAGAGTCTTAGGGCCAAGATAGAGAAGATCATGTGTCTTGTGGCAGCCAGCCACATTTCCATCAGTGCTGAGACACAAACATGGCTTCCCCAGAGGATCTGAGCTGCGCAGTATAACAGTCAGAATACGTCTGAGTACTGAGATTTTACAACAGAGGTGGGCAAAACACAGACTTCCAGGTTTTTTTTTCTTGCCCGCTAATTCCATCTATAAGAGTGGTGGTATTTTTGCCAGATTTTGGGAAATGGCTCCTAGTCTCTCCTAATCACTTCCTGGGAGCATACGAGAGATTTGGGATGACACCATATTTATTCAAGTATAATGCACCATCAATTTAATGTCAAATCTAATATGCCCTCTCCCTTGCCTGTCAGCTGAGAGGGAAGAAGGGGTACCCCTTGCCAAGCTGATGGAGAGGCGCAGCTTCCCAACTGGCCTAATTCATGACCTGAATGAAGCCAGTTGGGAAGCCGTCGCTCCTCCATCAGGTGGAGGCTGGGAAGCTTGCTATCCTCAGTCTGACAGAGGGGCACAGGCAGGTTTAGGAACGCGGTTCTAATGTGCCATCGCATGTAATGCACACCTCCATTTTGGCTAAGCATTACATTCGAGTACATATGGTACCCTTCCTTTATCTTTTAGTATCTGGCAGTGAGGGTAAGACCATCCAAAATTCCATTGGGGAGATAATGAGCCCCCCTAATCTCCAACAATTGCCCACTCCTGCTTTAGAATAAAGAGGATTCTGACATTTGGTCTATAACTTCCCTTACTTTTGAATCTGCATTCCTATCAACAGTATCTGTATATATTTACTCATTCGCAGCCTATTTCTTCATACAGCCTTTCATAATAATAATAATAATAACAACAACAACAACAACAACAACAACAACAACAACAACAACACTTTATTTGTACCCCGCTACCATCTCCCCAAGGGACTCGGTGCGGCTTACATGAGGCCGAGCCCAAATACAACAATACAAGCAATAACAACAGTACAAGCAAATTAAAATAAAACATAGACAATAAAATATACAACATTATCAGTAATTATTTCTATCTGTTTAGGTGCCCCACCAAACCCAATGTGTACATCTTGAGCCTATAGTTGCAAAAACCCCAGTGAAATAGTAAACCTCCTTCTGAACAAACATACCTTGGATTCAGGTATGTGTGCTGTTTTTTTTTTTTAAGTGATCTATCAAGAGGCAGCATAAAAAACACTTACCTCTGTAACCTTCCGGTTTGTTTGTGGAACAAGACCAAAAGAGCATCCTGGTGTTTATGAGAGCAATAACTTCAGGTGCACAGAGTGTGTTGCTAAAGGGAAAATAATAGATTATTCAATTTAAGAAATCTTTTGTAGCCCAAACATATGACAATTTACAATAAAAAATCTAAAGTAACCCACCGACAGAATTCATCAGTGTCTTGATGGTCATCACCATGAAGATAAACAAGAAGGAAGCGCAGCTCCCTCTTTGCATCATTCAGTGCCTTAGGAGAAAGAAAATAAAAGATGTTTAAAGGAAATCAAATCCAGATTATTTGACACTATGCTTAATGTTTAAAAAACAATGTCAATTTATCAAGAGTTTACTCTTCTTCCACATAATACATGTAGAAAGACTGGGCCATATTTTCTATCATATTGTTATACATAGCAAAATTTCTCTTTCTGAGAAGTGAGATTGTGGATTGTGCTTTCTTTACTTTGCAGTGCTATTCCACAACTAATACTGTGTCTAAACCTGCTAACAATATTCAGAAATGGCAACCTGCAGTCAATTTCTTTCTGTTATGAGATACTGTGCTTGGAATAAGAGAGCAGGAGTAGTGAAATTATTAACCAAGCAAATCCATTTCTTTCTATTTCAAATATCAAACATGAATAGAAATTATAATTAAATACTTAAAGTAGATCTCAAGCAGTTTATAACTTATTTAAGATAACTTAGCCATGAAATGCCTTCAAACTACTCTTGGCTGTGGACTAAGAACAACAACAACAACAACAACTTTATTCTTATATCCTGCACCATCTCCCCAAAGGGACTCAGGGCAACAAAGTGCCTAAAAACAAACATTAAAGTGGATACAATATAAAATACAATAAAATAAAACACATGCACATAGAAAAACATCAATGCAGATCATCAATCAAGTGCCGATCTTTTCATAATTTTTGAATGAGGAAATAGTCTACACGTTTTCATTTTCTAGAAATCATTGTTGTTATGATGTGCTTTTGAGTCAACTGTTACTTCTGGCAGCCTTGTCCTGGAATTTCCTTAGCAGGAAAGTCTTTCTCTGAGGCTGCGAGAAAGTGACTTGTTCAAGGTCACCCAAAGGATTCTATGGTTCCAGGGAAATTTAAATCTTGGTTTCCCAGTATCTTAGTGCAACACTCAAAACGCTATTTCATGCTGGCTCTCAAGTTGGATTCTATGTGAATCCCCTTCAAGACAGGCAACCTCAACAGTGCAATGCCACTTATATTGGAATTCAACTTTTCTACTAACCTGGCTGTATGTTCCCTGGTAGAAAACAGGATGTATTCTTCCATATTTTTCTTCAAACATATGAATAAATGAAACAATGTCACCCACTGGATCAGTGACCCGACTACGAGGATCAGGACGTATGAAACGCAAAGCAAACCTAGGAAGCATACAAAGCACAAATATAAGCTTTTTAACCATCCAGTACTTCAAAAACATGACAGGGATGATTTCAGTCATAAAAATTCTACTCCATTTTAAATCCCCATGTTCTGATTCATGTTATTTCAGTTTACAAAGCAAAAAAATTCAGTATTCTTAACATAAACAGTCTATGTTTTAAAAGTAAATGCATCTTTATCACACAATTCTGCTTAGAAATGCAAGAAGGCCCATGTAGCACAGTATCTCTGGCCAAACCATAAGAAACAGGCTATACACCAACTGATGAAACAGTATCTTCTTCCTGCCCATCTTTAGTTTGAAATGTTAAGACCTTTTAGCAAATGAATTAAAACAAAGTTCAAAACAAAGCAAAATATCCAAGCTAGACAACCATAAACTTACCTAAATATATCAAGTAGCGTGTAATATGTAAATCGGAATGGGAGCATTATCAAATAGTAGCCCCAACCTAACAAACCCTGAAATGACAGAGTGAAAGAGTTAGGAATTCATTTTAGTCTGTTTAGATATCTGGTGACTTTTTACAGAACAGCGAGTATTACCAAACCAATTCAGCATAAAGCTGGGAACTACAGATCAACATATTAAGCTCAAAGAAGACATTGAAAGAACTTTTGGGAATTTAAACAAGTCCTTTTCTTTTCTTTTTTCCAGTCTGAGACATATTAAAATAGTCACTAGCGCCTGGTCATGTCAACCCATCAACATTTCTTTCAAAAAAAAAAAAAAAGAAGAAAAAAAAAGAACAGAGTGCTTTTTCTGTTTTTATATAATTGAACAGTACAAGTTAACTCATGCTTACTTCACATTATTTTTCCCTTCAACACATAAAATAAAGTTTATTGACTGATCAGAGGTTGTAACCCAATCTAAGGATGCAAAGTAGGTAAAAATCAACAGATATGTGGAGCTTGTTTCCAAAAGGTACCAAATCCATTTGAACAAATTTAACAGGAATCAGGGAAAGAAGGACTATTTTCCTATAAAATGCCATTTCCCAAGCTTTATACTGAACTGATTTTATACATTTTGATGGTTTTGTTTTGTAGATAATTATATACTCCTAGCCAACCATCTTCTGACACCTACAACTCATGTTTAAATCTTTATGGATTTGGTCCCTGGAAAACAAACTCCACATATATCCTCTTTTGAAGTGCAATGTAAAGGTTATTACACTATACATATATGGATTCAGAAATATTCTGCTTTTACAACAGCATGCTGAAATGAATCACATTGTCATGAATGTTTATATAAGAATAGCCTTCGGTAGGAAGGGAATTTCAAGCTGTTGAAATGTTCAAGACCCAGGAAACTTAAGGAAAACTATTTCCCTACATTTGTTAGGCTTTGAAAATCTCCTTTCTGATTTAAATCTAATGACAAAATAACCTGCCCTTGGTTGCGGCCTTGAAACAACATAGCTGTAGATCCTGTGGTCAGCGGTGTTGACCTGAAGTGGTCGAGAAGGTGGTGGATTGAAGACACTTGGGACGCCCTCTTGTTCATTCAATCGGTCCTGGACAGCTGCCTGTAGAGGGAGGGCCAGGAAGACAAGTCTGATTCTCTGGTTGGCAAGGAGCAGCAGTCCACTATGACTGTGTTTAATCCAACTGAAATTGCAGGAGCCAACAGCCTTTTCCGGTTGAGAGGCTAAGCCTGTTCTGCCATCTCCAACAGTTTTTTCTATCCTGTCTAACCAACTAGTCATGTTTGCCTTTCTCTGACAAACTTAAAAGGCACACGTGTTAATAAGGATAAATAATGAGGAAATAAAATAAATACGATTTACTGCAGTAAAACCAAAAGGATGGATGGAAGGAAGGAAAGAAGGATGAAAAATGAAAGGAAACCAGTTACTGACCTGAAAGACATAGTAAGCAAAAAACAACAAAAAGTTGAAAAGGGACACCAGATTAAAAAAAAAACTATGGTAGATAAAGGTGCCAAAGCGGAACAGAAACTTGCAGCAGCAATAATATTTCTTCTAGGAATTTCTAAGCCTCATTTTGAAAATCTCAGCTCTAAAGCACTGGCTCCGAAGTGGAGAAGAATGTTGTGGCAGCAATGATACCCCAGTAACCTACAAGCACCATTTTTAAAAGAGAAGCTCTAAGACAATGGCTCTAAAGTGGAGAAGAACATCACAGGGATGCCCTGCAGCTAAGATGCACATGTCCACAAGCAATCACTGAAATAAGCTAAATTCAAGCAATTTTGAAGCAACGGAGATGGCAACATGCATATGGTGGGTAGCATAGTTAAAATATTTCTTAGACAAGGTAATTTGAATTTTGAAAGATAAGTCACACAAACGTAAACCTGAAAACTGAAATATGTTTAAAAAAACATGCACTAATGAAAAAAATATATAACAAGGCACAATTTGAAAATCTAATTGTAGGCTGAATTGGGGAGGGGTGAGTATTTAGTCAGATACCAATTGTACAAGTTCTCCCACTTAAAAAGATGAGAGGCCTGTAATTGACATCATAGATAGACTTCAACTATGCAAGACAACATGAGAAAACACATCCAGAAAATCACACTAACTGGTTTTTAATGAATTTATTTGCAAATTATGGTGGAAAATAAGTATTTGGTCCATAACAAAAGTTCATCTCAATACCTTGTTATATATCCTTTATTGGCAATGACAGAGGTCAAACATTTTCTGTAAGTCCTCACAAGGTTGACACATACTGTTGCTGGTGTGCTGGCCCATTCCTCCATGCAGATCTCCTCAAGAGCAGTGATGTTTTGGGGCTGTTGCTGGGCAACACGGACTTTCAACTCCCTCCAAAGGTTTTCTATAGGGTTGAGATCTGGAGACTGGCTAGATCACTCCAGGACCTTGAAATGCTTCTTACGAAGCCACTCCTTCATTGCCCTGGCAGTGTGCTTGGGATCATTGTCATGCTGAAAGACCCAGCCACGTTTCATCTTCAGTGCCCTTGCTGATGGAAGGAGGTTTGCACTCCAAATCTCACGATACATGGCCCCATTCATTCTTTCATGTATATGGATTGGTCACCCTGGTCCCTTTGCTGAGAAACAGCCCCAAAGCATGATGTTGCCACGCCATACTACACAGTAGGTATGGTATTCTTTGGATGCGACTCAGCATTCTTTCTCCTCCAAACACGATGACTTGTGTTTCTGCCAAACAGTTCTACTTTGGTTTCATCTGACCATATAAAACTATCCCAATACTCTTCTGGATCATCCAAATGGTCTCTAGAAAACTTCAGTCGGCCCCGAACATGTATTGGCTTAAGCAGGGGGACAAGTCTGGCACTGAAGGATCCGAGTCCCTGGAGGCGTAGTGTATTACTGATGGTAGCCTTTGTTAAGTTGGTCCCAGCTCTCTGCAGATCATTCACTAGGTTCCCCCGTGTAGTTCTGGGATTTTTGCTCACAATTCTTGTGATCATTTTGACCCCCACGGGGTGAGATCTTGTGTGAAGCTCCAGATCGAGGGAGATTATCAGTGGTTTTGTATCTCTTCCATTTTCTAATTATTGCTCCCACAGTTGATTTCTTCACACCAAGCTGCTTGCCTATTGCAGATTCAGTCTTTCCAGTCTGGTGCAGGGCAACAATTTTGTTTCTGGTGCCCTTCGGCAGCTCTTTGGCCTTCACCATAGTGGGGTTTGGAGTGTGACTGCTTGAGGTTGTGGACAGGGGTCTTTTATGCTGATAACAAGTTCAAATAGGTGCCATTATTACTACAGGTAATGAGTGGAGGACAGAGAATCTCCTAAAGAGGAAGTTACAGGTCTATGAGACCCAGAAATCTTGCTTGTTTGTACTTATTTTCCACCATATTTTGCAAATAAATTCATTAAAAATCAGATAATGTGATTTTCTGGATGCGTTTTCTCATATTGTCTCTCATAGTTGAGATCTACTCTATGATGTAAATTACAGGCCTCTTTCATTTTTTTAAGTGGGACAATCGCCTTCGGGCTGATATGGGTGGGATAGAAATTATGTAAATAAATAAATAAATAAATTTGTGCAATTGGTATCTGACTAAATACTTTCCCCCCCACTGTAGTTCAATTAAATACATCAAAACTCAGGTAAGCATAGCATACCAATTCAGCTCTGAGGGGGATGTATGCTGCCACTTCAGAAATGTTTCAAGAGTCTTATAAATCTTTTAAAACTTTGTATTAATTATTGAAATGATGCCTTCTAAATTTATACAACGCTTCAGCCAGATATAGTGAATAACAACAATATTCCTTCTCCAAATCATGAGAATGTATTTTTTTTTAATCCTTCTGGCTTCTACCTGCTTTCAAGGTTTCTTTTTTCATCATGAATGTTAAGTACTGCACTACAGTCACAAGGAATGGTTAAGCAGGAGAAGTCACAGCCGTTACAAAAGAGACATGAGGCACCAATGAGCTACAAAACTCTGCGCCTAAAACAGGCAGATTTGTTTTACTCTGCACTGAAAAAGATGCAAGTCACATCGGCTTGTTGACTTTTGTGGGATTAAAAAGCATTCAAGGGCTTTAAAAAAAATCTGAGAGATTATTATGAACATTACATTTAAAGACACACAGACCTTTAAAGCAGACAACATATGAATACAGCTTTCTGAAATGTTTAGCTTTAATTTATATTTTTTTTTATAAATTTAAAAATTATAAAAACCCTTTTATAATTGAAAAAAATGGTTGAGAAGATGGTCAAAGATAAGCCTGAAACAAAAGGTGACTGAATAAGATCTGTATAGGTAAAGATCAAAGTTTAGTGCATGGGAACCCAAGGGAAAAAGTACACCCCACCCCCGTGTTTGGCAGCCCTCACCAGCCTAACTACAGGCACAAGGACTGGGGCAAGAGAAGGTTTCTTTGGTTGGAGGCAATGCCCATCAATCCAAAGGCACCTGTACCCCTGGAAAAAACAGAGCAAGCATGTGATGTTTTGCTGAGCGGCTTATCTTTCCCTGTGATGAGCACAATTATGCAAACAACATTTCATAATCATGCAAAACACTAGAAATTATCTACAGAGGCTGCGAAATTTGGAATATCTTAATGTAGAATTTGAAATCTTGTTTTTTAGCAGACTACACAAGGACTTGATTATAAGAAGGAGTCACACCAATGTCTTTTACAGATTCTGGAAATGCCTGACTATTTTAATCGGTCCAATAAGAAAGCACACATATACGGTACCATACCTCTATGTTCCAGTTATGTTGTTCCAGTGTGTGGCGACACTGGTCCATGGATTCTATGCCAGTCAAATCCTAAGACAAAAGGCAAAGGTGAAACAAAAGTCAAATAATGCCTCAGGCAGCATTGAAATAGATGTTAATACTATATTGGCTTCTTTCGTTTTAGTTTTCCACCTTTAGAAAACAAATGTGTAAAAATGGTGAAACCTTAGCCATTGACAATATTACTACATAAAATACGTTGGGCTTTCCTAGAACAAGACTATGAGACTAAATGCTCTAATTTTTGCACTACTTCAATATAATTCTTTCTTTCAATGATGACATCACTGAATCTGTTTTTTCTTCCAATGTTATATAGACTAATGCCAACATGATCCTCTCTTTTACCAGTGGAATATTTTCATTTCTCACTGCTGGTTTTCCACGTCTTTCTACCATTGCTTTGCTGGGGAAAGTAAATGCTATAGGTGATTTCTCATCAATGACTTTCTGAAAAACAGTGAATGACTTTGCAGAGAAACATGTAATATACATGTTGCATTTTGGCAATATACTGTTCCAAATATGACTACAAACAGTATTATTTTTTAAAAATATCATTATTCACTAAGCTGATCAAATCTTATCAGAAATGTCCTTCCTTACATATACTACCAACATTTCATTCTCTTGTGAGACTGTAATATGTTTGCAAAGTTTAAAGTTTAAACTGGAGCACAAACATGCACTTTTTAATAGCTAGCACCAGATTTCAAAATGGTATTGCACAAATCACCTTTTTACTGATTGTTTTACAAATGCAATTGCTCCAGTATAACAAAATGAAAGTTTTATGAATTTGTTGCATTTCACTACTGCATGTATAACTGCTGAAGCCTATACTGAGTGATGTCACATTGCAAAGGTTATTTATTTTAAAATGTAGGCTTCCTACTCCCTAACCAGTCCATTTTCAGATTTGCCTGGCCACTGCTCACTTGATTTTGCTCTCTTCACTTCCTAGGAGTCTTTTGGTCCAACTTTAATTTTAGCTACATATGACAAGGATAATAGTCAGGTAGTATCTGACACTGCCCAGTTTGCTAAAAGGCTAATATCATATTCTCTTGATCAGTAAACTGGATGGGAGATTACTCAAATCCCCTTTTAAGAACAATGCAGTATTCCCAAAATTATTGATAAGTTTTTACATGAGTTTGTCTTTCATTATAGCAAAACATGAAATATTAATCATTTTCATTTTTCCTTCTTTACATTCCCTGCCATGTTTGAAGGTTCTTTGTTATTTGTGCTTTCAAATTGTTGCCAACCCTTGGGGATTTTAAGGCAAATCTATTACAGGGTTTTATTGGCAAGGTTTGTTCAGAGGAAGGTTGTCTGCCTTCCTCTGAGACTTTGAAAGTGTAACTTGTTGAGGGTCAAACAGCAGTTCTCCATGACTGAGCGAGGATTCAAGCCCTGGTCTCCATAGTCCTAAATTAGTATCATCACACGAATTTAGAACTATTCGTATGGTGATTTTTCAACATCTTCTAATCGAATTGTGATTTATCTCTAGTCTTCTTTCTGCAATCATTCTTTAAACATCAAACCAGACAATAACACTTGATGTTTTTTCCTCTAAGGATATGCTACCAGCATTTATAATGCTACAGTGCAGTGACAGAATATGAAATGGCGTTCAAAAATAATTCAATGGAAGCCCTCAAGCTCTAGCATTCCACTCAGCCAGCTAAGCTGGTATTCCTGGCTTCAACTTTGCTCAGAATTACATTCTGCTGGACATGTCAGGTAAAGCACTTTGCTCAGCAAACCACTGAATCAATCAATCAGGACTTTAAAAAACATATCTTATACTGTTTTATAATTAACACCATAATCCTAGTTCTTCCTCCACCAACAATAAGTTTGTTTTGAAAATATACCCCATTGTAGAATATAGATTATTTAGTCCCTTAACAATTCAACAAATGTACCTGCTTACCTCGATCATATGCCTGAACAAACAAGTGTACCTCATTGTTTCTTCACATTTCTAGACTTTGATTGTCAGCTTGTTGTATGTACTGTTTACAAATTGATGAGATCCAAATACACTTTTGCACTGAATCTGTTTTATTTTTAGCAATACGGACATGGTACATTTAATGCTAAACCTTTCTCTACATAACAATATAGCTTGACAGATTTACAAAAGTATATCTTATTGATACTTACACATACAGTTTGTCCTCCACATTTTAGGGTTTAACCTTTGTGATTACTATGTTCTCTTTGGGAATCTCTCTAGTCAACTTATTCCGGAGGCAGATCACAGAGTTGTGCTGGAGAACCTACGTAATTCATGTGAGTCCTGCACCCTGAACCCCAGCGTGGGTTGTGGAGGGCCTATTGTACTTGGGTGCATGTAAACAGATACTAATTCCTGGGCACTAAGTTTGCCATATTTTAGTGTAATCTGGTTGGCTAGCTTGTCATCATATTATGTTTCTAATTCTGTATACAGGCAGTCCCCAAGTTACAAACAAGGTAAGTTCTATAGGTTTGTTCTTAAGTCGAATTAGTATGTAAGTTGGAACAGGTACATTTTTAGTGTAACCACAGCCAAAAATATATATGCATTAGCTTTGGATAGCATAGAGAAGAGCCAACACGCCTGCGGTGTTTGATTTTCTGTCTGTGCCCCCATTCAGAAGATTTCACCTCACTTTTGCCCCTGTAATAACTGGATTTTGAAAAACTGGCTTTCTGTAGAAACAAGGATTGAATTTTGAAAAATTGGCTTTTTGTGGAAACAAGGATTGGTGACAAATCTTCAGGTGAAACAGGTTTTCCCCATGATAACTCTTTCTGGAGTGAATTTCCCTTCCTAGGGATAGATTTCTCCCACTTCCTGTGGTCTTACCTCCATTCTATAAGTCCTTTGTAAGTCAGATGTTTGTAACTAGGGGACTGCCTGTACTATATATGCTTTCTGCTGGAGAAAACTTTGTCTTGTGATGATAACTATTATTCAACAGCTAAGGGTCACATCTCTCCTCTGGCCTTTTGCTTTACATTCCCAGATTTATGTGTTACATCTGTTAAAATCAGCATAGCTGTTGACTGTTATTCTCCTGTATGGATTATTAACATTGCTAAATATTTTCCTGTAGCTTTCATCAATATGCTAAATCTCCATATTCTGCTGGTTTCAAAATGCAGAAGCCTTATGCAAAGGTGTATTTTTAATAACTAGGACATTATTAATGATAGCAAATAGACAATAAAAACTGATTACTGGGCAGGATATCAAGTGTGTGCCCATTTCAGAAATACAACTGTGTAAGTCTGTTGCAGTAAGAGATGCACACATTTACAAATTTCAATCTGTATGTCTAAAGCAATCTCAACATTTCATGGAAAATATACTGCTCCCATCCAGGGTGGAAATTTGGAACCATTATGGGGAAACATAATATGCTTGAGAAAGAAAGAGAAAGCTGAAATGTAAACAAGAACCAGTTAAAGGCCTCAGAATGTATGCACCAGTTTTCAGGTATAAAGGTAGATGCTGAGAGCTGAACTAGTGGTGAGATTATACATATGAAGTTTTAATCATGCTTTCTCCTGATAGAGTTAGTAAAACTAGAGAAACAGGGCTCCCCTTCCATTATTATTCAAAGGATTAGACAGTTTTCATCCAGAACAAAACAAGGATGAGAGACAAATCACTCCATCCTAAACTCTGTGGTCCCCTTGTGGCTATTAGTTAAGGAAAACTAGAGACATTAAAACTGTTATGAGTTCAATATCAAATCTAGGGACCTTTTCACAGACTGCCTCCATAGTTAATTCCCAAATCACTGTCAAATTCCAGAGAATTACGTTTCCAAGGTGAAGAGAACTTGACTTCTAGCAAAACAAAAGCTTTTGCCAAGTTTCAGAGGTTTTTCTCACTTAAGTACAATGATCAAAGACAGTCAAAATGAAGCTGCTGCCACATACCATAAGGTAACACTTCTCATAGAACCACACTTTATGCTAAACTTCAAGATGATTTCAGCTAGGATTTCAGTATCTTGAAAAAGTAATTGTTTCTCCTCACATAACAAGTGTTAATACACAAAGGCAGAAAGTATACACCATTTGTCATGAAAAGGCAAAAATGCTTTCAGATCCGTGTTTTAAAAAACTAGGTTTTTTCTGCTGTAGGGCTTTCCCAATTTTTTAAAGTTAAAGTAGTAGCCTAGATTAAATCAAACTACTCTTTTTGGTGAATTGCTAAAAATAATTTTAAAATATGATCCCCTTCACCAGGGTTGAAAGGACGATTGCATCCATTCTCAGATTGGCACCCTCCAGATCTGTTGGGACTATATTTCGCCATATTGGCTTTGGATTATAGGAACTTTACTGACATAATGCAAGCATGAGAAAGGTTGCCATAAATATTATAACATATAACAGAAACACAGTCAAGTTGGACAACTAATTTTTCTTTGCTGGTTAAAAGCCTTTCCAATAACACTCATAGAGAAAAGGCTGAGAGAAAACAAGTTAAGAGGTACATTGTTGCTCTTACATTTAGGAATAGAATGAAGACAGTTTTTCTCACTGCTTTCTGTCCATTTGCAGCATATAGTACTCTAGATACACTTCCCATGAGACTGTTTCAAATTGCTCTTACCATTCATAATTCCTGAGTGCTTGAAACAGTCTGCAGTTTCTCATTTTCTAGACACCATTCTTGCTGTTATGTGCCTTCAAGTCAATTCCAACATATGGAGATCTTATTGTAGGATTTCCTTGCCAAGATTTATTCTGAGGGGGTTTGCCACTGCCTTCCTCTGAAGCTGTGAGAGCATCACTCGCTCAAGGTCATCCAGTGGTTCCATGGCTCAGTAGGGATCCAATTGCTGGTTCCCTGAGCACTACTGAAACCCGCAAAACAATACACCATGCAAACTTCCTAGTCTGTCCTCACTACTGTGGTTTAACACTTAATGCTGAAAGATAACTCTTTTCTTGCTATACATGTTCACATATGTCTTAATTAGTTAAACCATGTTTTATTCATTGTGTTCTAA